ACACCACACACACCACACACACCACACACACACCACACACACCACACACACCACACACACCACACACACCACACACACCACACACACCACACACCCACCACACCCACCACACCCACCACACACACCACACACACCACACACACCACACACACCACACACACCACACACACCACACACACCACACACACCACACACACCACACACACCACACACACCACACACACCACACACACCACACACACCACACACACACCACACACACCACACACACACACACACACCACACACACCACACACACCACACACACCACACACACCACACACACCACACACACCACACACACCACACACACACACCACACACACACACACACCACACACACACACACCACACACACCACACACACACACCACACACACACACACCACACACACACACACCCCACCCCACCCCACCCCACCCCGCCACACCCCGCCCCACCTACCCACCCACCCACCCACGGACCTACCCACCCACCCGACCCACCCCACCCACCCACCCACCCACCCACACCCACACCCACCCACACCCACACCCACACCCACACCCACACCCACACGCACACCCACACCCACACCCACACCCACACCCACACCCACACCCCCACCCACCCACCCAGCGTGGGCGCGCGCGGGCGTGCGCACGCACGCATGCAAGCGCGCACGCACGCACCGCCCACCCACCCACCACACACACACACACACACGCATCGGTACATCTTTTTCATCTTAGGACTGGTGCTGGCAAATAAGACCAACAAGGTCATGGTGCGGAAGGAGGGCAAGAGTACAGTAGGAAGCCGGCTACACCTGGCAAACATAAGGTTAATGATTTGGTATCTTTGTTTTAGACCCAGACTCAGTGGACCCAGTAGCACTGATTCAGTCTCCTTTGAATATTGAGCGGAGGAGGCATTGGAGGCTCGCTCCTTTTTGGCGATGACCCTTGCGCGGCGGTGGGGCTTGACGCACCGACGTGAAGCCTTGGCTGGGGCGCTTTGTGAGCCTCTTCGAGCAGGGCGAGCTTTCCAACTTTGTGAAGCTGTGCAGGGTTGCGTTCGCATCGACTGGCGGGGCCGCTGTCCAAGGTGACACACCGGCTCAACATCATTCCTCGCCCTGCAGACGCCGTCGCATGAAGCCAGGAGGTTGGCCCCAATGACTGGCGCCGCGCCTGTCCTCAAGAATCAGGTGTTTTTTTGTGGTGGCGGGTGAGCGGTGGACATTATGTTTGTGACCACGACTTTTTTCTGTGTGTGCAAGTGAACCTTTCTTTGTGTCCCAGCCCCAGCCCTAGTTCTGTGATGGTTTCACCTCCTTTCCGGGTCATGGTAAAAACTCGCCACACATTTTCTCGCATTGGTGCTGGTTTGCTGCAGTTAGCCATGGCGTGTTTCAAGCCAGGGATGTAAAATGCATTTGGACACATCATCCCAACGTCCGAACCCTGCAGTGAAAAATTTGAGCTCTGACCAACCACCTCAACAAGAACCGCTGCCCGAAAGACGCCCTCAGGGGATGCAACGTTTTGACGCAAGATCGTGTCACTGAAGGGTGGGGTCCGCAAGGGGCCAAACCTACACTGAAGCAATCACTGCCATCCGGTCGGATTTTTTGGGCCTATTGCCAGCTCCTCCGCGTACCAGACATGTTGTCCCACTGGATTGAGATGTGCTACTATCGCGGAACAAGGTGTGAGTCCACTTGGCGCCCACACAAAGGCTGCCGAGGACCGCCACGAAAGCGCATTCATCGTTTGCGACTTCTTTGATTGTGGGAATCATGAGTGCTTCTTCAATTCCCTTGCCGCGCAGGGAACGGGACGCATGGGTATCAGATTGGCGTTGTGCTTTGTCGCGCTTGCAGTTGGAGTTTGATGTGAAGCTTAGCTATTGGAATGACCTAGCTAATGGGGATCAATGTAGCTCAGCTGGACATGGCACGGTGCATTGGCAAGTAGTGTCAAAATGCACGGATTCGAATGACCCGGACAGAAGCGAGACGCACACCCAATGACAAGGAGGTTTTTGGACCTTTCATGGCAAGGCGAAGGGTTGAAGCTCTAAGATGCAACTCACTGGACATGGGATGCCGGTTTATGAAGTGTGCGATATATGCATGTTCATTGCCGCTGGTGTAGCTGAGCACTTGCAAGAAGCTTTGGTCGGCCGTCGCATGCGCAGGCATTGATGCACGTGCCGCAAATTCCAAAATGTTCTGTTCATCATGATTGCCTATTGACCTGCCAAGCTGAGGCCACAACCTCAGATGCCTTTGCGCCGGACCCAGGGGCGGGGAGTGTAGGCACTTGCGTTGCTGCCCCAACCATCCTCCGCAAAGCGGGGGGTGTTGTTGGTAGGTGGCAAAGCATGATGTACAGCATATACCAATCGACATTGGCTCAAGAAAAAGGTATTGCTCGCCTTGCTGTTTTTAGGTAGTTCTTAAAACAGCCATAGCCAGCTCTCCTTTTGAAGCCTCCAAACCGGTCAGCCTACCACCAAATGGGTCACTCTACCAACTCTTAAAATTCATATGAAAGTCCAAACCACCAAACCACCCACGGTGGCTCGTTGGTTGGGGCGGCTTCTCCTCGCGGCTTGCGGCTGGAGCCCGAGGTGCGGCTGGTGAGCTGCGACCTGGTCGCCGTGGCCGCGGAGGGGCGGTGCGGCAGGCCGGAGGAACGGCTCGGCTCGGACGGACGGGTTTTTGCGGGGCTCGGAGCAGGAAAATTCGGTTGGTGCTTTTAAGGTGTCCCTCCAAAACCCACCCGGAAACAAAGGGTACCATGGGTGCCCTCAAGTTTTGGATTGGCTGGCTGGGTTTACAAGCCATTTTCCCCTGAAAGGGAACCCAAAAGTGGCAGTTTTCGGGACGTTGACAGATCCCTGAATTGTTGCTCCGCCTCAGGTTCCTGGACCTTCTACTTGGTTCGTGGAGGAAATACTATTTACACGACGCGACACAGCCGGCCACGAACAGCCTGGCCTTCCCTTCGTTTTTCTTCCTAGAAGCAATCCTGTCATTTTCTTTTAGTTCCCTTGATCCCCCTCACCTCCCTTCATTTCACTTCAGTTTCCTTCTTTTCGCTTCATTTCCCTGCATTTCGCTTCATTTTCCTACATTTCACTTTATTTCACCTCATTTCCCTGTAGTTTTCCTTTATTTCCTTCCTGTAGTTCCCTTCTTTTCTCTTCATTGCACTTTATTTTCCTTCCTTTCCCTTCATTTCACTTCTTCCCTTCATTTAGGTTCCCTTGAGTTCCATTAGTGTTCCTTCCTTTTCCTTCATGTCATTTGCCTTCATTTCCCTGGATTGCCCTGCATCTCCCTTTAGTCCTTTCATTTTCCCTCATTTCCCGCATTTCCCTTCACTCCCTTCATTCCCTTCATTTCCAAGACTTCATTTCCTTTCGAACCCAAAATTTATCAGTGTCTTCATTTCACGTCATTTCACTTCATTTCCCCTCATTTCCCATCATTTCCCTTCATTTCCCTTCATTCCCCTTGTCAATTTTCCACCCATGTCCCATCCATGTGCCATTTTCCATCCATGTTGCAACCTCCATGTTCCACCATGTTCCATCCATTGTCCATCCATTTTCCATCGATGTTCCAGCACCATCCCACCCAGATCTTCCCACTCCACGAATCGGACAACGTCCCAGCATCACTAGCATCGTCCACATCAACGTCCGCCAAGGGCTCCCCCAAAAATACCAACCACTCGACTTTTGACAAAAAGGCAATCCGCAGCAGCATGCAACTGCATTCTCAGTGTAACAATGATTTGTTGCCAGCCTTCCCACGCGCCTCCCTTTTGGCAAGAGGGGGTCGGCGGATTTGCAGACTGGGTTGCTTCTGACTTTCAAAGGAGGCATTTTCAGAAGAAAAAAAACCAGAATCCTTGATTCTGCTTTCTTGAAACCTGTTGCTTTCGTTCTTTCACCTGGCACTTGGGGCTACTTTGAAATTGCGAATGGCAACCGTTTCATGGCACAAGGCGGCGTTAGGCGAAACAACTCCGGGGTGTGAGGGCCCTTGGACCCAGCACCTGGGAAGCCAGACAATATTGGAGTTTCCCTTAATGTTCAAGGGGCAGAACATGCAGGTTCTACGGCGAACCATGCTATCTATAGGTCATACCTCCCGGACAATGTAAATGAAAGGCGGTCTTTTTTCTCCACTAAAGGAGAACCACCCTTGGTAGTCTCAAAGCAAGCCTTTGACAATGGCACATCTTGGCAGCAGGAGGAGCTGGCGCAGGGGGAGACATTCGCGTGAAGCTTCTGTTGGAGGATTCTTTTGTTCAGCCCTCCGACCTGTTTTTGCATGATTGTTCATTCGGAAACCACACATTTGCCACGTGGCGGTGTGTGTGTGTGTGTGTGTGTGTGTGTGTGTGTGTGTGTGTGTGTGTGTGTGTGTGTGTGCGTGAGTCAACGTGGTTTCGCTGAACAAAGAATCGCAGGTGTAAAGCTGACCTCAAGTTTTTTTGGGAGGCTCTTGATTCTGGGTGAAATGGGTAAACTACTCCCCTACAAGCTGACATGGAACCCAAACTCCCACCATTTGTGTAATTTGCTGGGGCCTTGGAAGCATCACCTTTGTGGACCAAATCAAGACGTGACCAACACGCCAGTAACCCGTTGTGGGTCAACCAAGTGTGATGCCTTTTGGGGGCCGGCAATTTGAACTTCGTCCCTTTCAACCAACCTCCCAATAGGCACCAACTCACAAAACACACATTCAGAAACTCCACGGCAAGATGGGGGAATCCCCTTTCATGTGTTCCCCTAGAAGAAGACACACCCATTTTGCTTGAGAGTGGTGTTGAAATTTGTGCATTTTATGGGTTTCAAAAGCCCACGCTTTCATGAGGAGACGCTCTCTTTTACTACCGTTTCTTTTTCTGTAGTCTATTTGAGTAGGGGAACCCTCCCTCCCATGGGTCAAAACCCCTTCACCCCAGTGAACATCCCAATCCAACCACCAAGATAGGTTCTAAAATGGGTGGTGAATTCACCTATCCCAAAATGGGATCCCACTGATTTTGAACCATGGCCACACGGCTTCTCATCAAACTGGCTGGGGAACCCAACCCTTATTCTGACCTCTCTACTGGAGGGTTCCCCTAAAGCTTTGGCTTTTGACCCGCCGGCGAGGTCCTACCTCCTGGCCTCCTTCCACGGCGACACGGCGGGGTGCCTCACCTTGCCGCTGCTGCGGGCGCTGCGCAAGGCCCTGGACCGCTTCCCCAGGCGCTTTGACGGCTCGGGGCTCGGCGGGGCGGATGGGCGGATGGCTTTTCTTTTTGCTAAAGAAGACTTTCCGAGATCGCCGTCGATGAATTGCTTTTTCCATGTGGCTGCGTTTGGTGTTCTACCTCCAAATTAGATGAGTCTCTGTTGCATTCCGAGCCTCACAACAAGACAGACCCTGAAACAGGGCTCCTGAAAAGATCTCCATTTTGCAACAATTTGAGGCATGTTGCTTTTTCCAGCAAGATAAAGGGAAGCCACCCATCTTCCACTTGCTTGAGAGTATTTTTCTATTTTTCCCTCTTGGTCTTTGAAGGGAATCTATTACTCAACATATTTTAAATATTTTTCCCAGGGGCTTAAGCAAATGGAAGCTGGGTGGCGGAACAAAATGGGGGGCAAGCGGTTTGGTCCAGCTGGGAACCCTCCCACCACTTAAGCTTTGGCGCATTTTGCCAAGGGATCTTAGGACTTTATCTTTTTGCCAACTAGTGGGTTTTCCATCAAACGACTAAAAGTTAAACTTTTAGCAGGGGAGCAGAGGCAATCAAAACCCGGGTAAGTGAAGGTTAGTAAGGGACAATCCCAACCACAAACAGCTGCGGCCGCCTTCTGAATTGTTCTGAGACTACGACCATTGTTGTACCGGGCTTTGATTGTGACTCAACTAGGAACCCTCGCACCAGTTGACATGGAACCTGACGTTTGGGGGAAATTCCTGGAAGATCATTTTCCTTTGCAAGGGACCCCCTAAGTCCCATGTTAATTGGTGGGAGGGTCCCTTTGCAGTGGACACTTGGAGGGGTTCGCCAAATTACTGTTGGGGTGGTTATCCCTTACCACGATTTCAAATATAGACTTGCTGAAACCCACCTCAAGTGTCAATGCCCCAGCAAAACAATGCTCTAAACAACCTATACCCTAAGCATGTGGTTGCAGAATAGACTCCAAGTGTCCCCTCATGAGCGTGCCTTGCAGGCTACTGGGTTTTCAGGATTTGGATGGAGAACCTTTACACCTCATTTTGTAAGTTTGTAAGCGAAGACTTTGTCACCGGAAAGCAAAAACCAGTGGCACGGGGCTGGTTCCAATCCGCACGGTCCTGCCCCATGAACTGGTCTCTTGCATCAAGTTAGGGGACAAAAAATGTTTGTGCCTCAAGTTAGGGGGCTTCTCAAAAAGGCAGAGTTTCCCTTTGACATTGGAAGTGGATCGGTAGAGTAGCTAGCAAGGGAAATGCCTTAAGAAGCTCAGCCAGCTGCCAATGGAACCCAATGGTGTCCCTGCCCCCTAGTCTTTTTTCGGGATAATTTTTGGAAATCAAGGTCATGACCTTTTCTGGGCGTTTCCATCTTACCAAAGAGGGCTGTGTTGACACGTCGAAACAATTTTGAAGACCTTTACTTTTGGAAAGACAACGTGGGCATGCATTCACACGTCCCGGCTCCGGCATTTTTCTTGGCAATACATGGGGGCTTCCGGTGATGGACGGTGCTGCACGTCGAACATCGTACAGCTCAATACGGGCATGTGAGAAACGTCGGGATTCGCTTTCAAAGGAAACTGACAGGAACCAATATGAAACAAAGCATTTCGAGAGGTCCCTACTTTTGACAGATTCAAAACAATGGACAAAGGGTCTCCCGGATATCTTGCCATTCACGAATCTGCTTTCTGGAAATCGCGGGCAGCCGAGTTTGGCAGGGAATTCAGCTTCCAGCTTCTTTCCAGAAGCTGGGGGTTCGCCGATTTTCCGGCTTGGATTCTGGGTCGCCATTTTTTTTCGGCTCGACTCAACCTGGGTCTCGAGGCGACATCTTTGAGTTGCGGGAGCGGGAACCGCTTCGCTTTCGCTCACGTGAGTCCGGCTCCACCCCCCCCCCTCCCAAGGAACAAGTCCCGAAGAACCTCCGCGAAAGGCGAATGTGAGCCCATGTTGCTCTACTGGTTGAATCAGGAGTGGCTCACTTGCAGGTTGGCTGCAGCTACAGCGTAGATTGATCCACTTTGAATTTGCGAAACCCGACTTCGACCCTATGAACCTGTCAACCTGTCAACCTGTCAATCCACCAGCAAGTCCCTGTTGCCTCGAATCAGGTTCTACGTTTCTTGGTGGGACTTGAGCAACACCGCAACACCGGGCTTTCATGCACCATCTGCGTCCTTGTTGCAATCCTTTCGGTTTCCCCTTAAACCAACCCCAGAAAAGATACAAACAGAGCTGTATATATATATATATAGACATCTGGCGAAGTCCCCTTTTCGTTGGTTTGGAAAGGGAGCCAATAGGGCACACAAGATGTCTTGGATGTGAAAGCCAGCCCAAAAACCGGGGCCAACTCCAAAGGTAAGTTTCTTTGTTGAAAAGTAACCACCCTCCACATGCCATGGTTCACCTGCAGAAGGTCTGAGAAACATGGCAGCCAGGGACCCCCATTTGAACATATCTCCAAAACATGCTTTCGATACGTGCGCGTGCCATTTTCGAGGCGGCGGCTGGTTTGAAGGAATTCAGGGGTCCATGTCAAACGAAAAGGGAACTTCGTTACATATATATATATATATATAAATGTATATGTATATATAGATATATACATAGATATACTTGGGGGGGGCAGCTGGTTTAAAGCAACCAAACAGCCGCATCTTAGCCGCAGGCACGTGGTGATCATGGGCCTGGATGCCAACAGCTACGAGCCCGCCAAGGCGGAGCAGCTGCCGTACGCCGCGCTCATGGAGCCTCGGATCTGAGAGACCAACCACCGAACGAAGGCCCAGAAAACTTTTTGGTGCATGTTGCTTGGATGTTGGGACTTTAACTGTTTGCCAACTAATGGGTTTTTTCGTATTGAACCACTGAAAGTTAACCTTTTAGCAGGGGAGCAGAAAGCAACCGAGATTAAAACCCACTGAAACCCTCGCTTAGCAAACGAAGTTGGCCCTGGAGTTTCGCCTTTGAAACTGACGGGTTTGGCCTCATTTGGCCTCATGTTTGGCCTCATTTGGCCTCGTTTGTCCTCATGTTTGGCCTCATGTTTGGCCTCGTTTGGCCTTATTTGGGCCTCACCAGGGCGGGGGTGTGAGGGTCTGACAGAAATGGAGCTGACAGCTTGTGCAGAAGTGGTATGTACCCACAAAAGCAGAATGAATTAGGTATCCACCTGATGTATGGACACTTGCACGGTTCCTTCTGCGAGATGATGGTGATGAAGAGGATGATGATGATAGTGAGGGTGAGGGTGGTGGTGATGCCGAAGATGCTGCTGATGGGGAGGGAAGAAATGACACCGGCAAGACAGGCAATTCTGATGAGCAGGAAACATGGTTTTTACAGTCTTTATGCTGTGCATGCTGGTTGGTAGGTAATGGCAGGAAAGCAGGCTTTGGCCGATTTTTTTGCTGCTCGCACCTTGCAGCTGAGGAAGAGGCACGGAGCGCTGCTGCGCATGACGTCTTTCGTCGCTGAGATGGGGTGTGTCAACAACTTAGCGGCGTCTTTCTCTTCATTTTGCCCTTTGGTTTGCCAACTCATATTTTGCCTTAGGACGCATTTTTTTAAGCGCGCATTTCCCTGCGGAAGAACCAAACCATTTCACCAGACGCGGCATTTGTTTTTAGCTTTGGATACGGGTTCTGGGCAAAATAGAATCGGTTTGCCGGTCGATGGACCCCTAAAATGGGGTTGCGTTTAACAGGGCTCCTTCACAGATACATTTTGCAACCATTTGAAACATGTTGCATTTTCCACCAAAATACATGGACACCACCATTTACAAGTTGCAATGTTCAGGTGTATAATGTAAGGATCCCTGTTTAAAGGGAAACTGAAGGAGCCTCACTTTTAGAGGTTCATTTGAAGACGCCCGCCCAAATGGTAGAGAGGGGGTTCCGGAACCCCGACGCCTCGGTCGCGGTTCGGTGTTGATTCCTTGTTGCTGGGAAAAAAAAGGGTTCCCCATCAATCTACTGCAGGTCCTGCTCTCTTTTTTGATTCTGTAGTTTTCCACCATCTGGGATCGCAAAGAGGCAAGCTCCTTTGTTTTTGGGGCACTCCATGGCTAGGACCTGCATGTGACGGCCCGGGTGAGGCTCCTGTGACGTTCTCGGGGTTGGTGAAGGTCTTCGAGCGATCCTTGCATCCGCAGGTGAGGAAGCTTGGGCTGAGCAGCTGCTTTGGGGATGCGGCTCGGTGTGGAGAAGGGTTGCGGAAGTGCGGCCTAGAAACGGTCAATTGTAAGAATAATTCGATCTGTTCCAAGACCTCCTCACCGCCACCATGCCACAAGAAAGCATGACAGTGCCAGATCGCAAAGAGGTCCAACATCTTGATGGAGGCAAACCAGAAGTTTGACTGCCCAATTTCCAGCGTGTGCTCAGGGAGCCTGTAAAGCATCATTGTCCCCGTCCGGGCAGTGTGGTGAGGGCAGTGGGTGCGCCAAATGCCAACTGAGCCCCTCCCCCGCCCCTCCCCCCCCTCCAGCGTTTGGCGTTGAATGGCCCACCTTGCTTTCTGCTGCCCTTTTGGGGGATGCCTAGCAGTTCCATATCCCCTTTGGAGCGCCCAAGTCGCTCCTTTCTCTCATACCAAACAAGGAGTTGCGCAGACCCTCGCCTGATTCTGTGCACTTCCATGTTGGTTGGGGGGTGAAAAGGCGGCTGTGAAAAGGCGACTGTTTCTTTTCGACTTTCTTGCTGTTGGAAGGCGATCACATAGGAATTCGGGTAAGTGCTTTGCTGCAATTCCACTTGTTCGACTTGTTGCACGTCTCCAGTGGCCCGGCAACCTTTGCTGCTCCTGTTGCTGTTGCTGTCGCCGCCGCCGCCGGGTGCTGCCTGTTGCCTTTATTTCTTTCGCTGCTGTTTCGGGCACGCCCCTGCCCACAAGAGTTCCTAAAACCATGCGGTTCCATTTAGCACGGAGTGTCCATGGGGTTTCTTGCCGCTCTCAGGCGCGGGCGCGCGCGCGCGCTCTCAGCAACGAGTAAGGTGTATGTTTCGATTCCATGCAGATGTTGTGTTTATGCCTCGCAGCAAGTAAAACTGAGCTTCCGAGTGCTGATTAAGACTTCATTTTGGGCTTGCGATTCTGTGGGGGAAGCGCTGAAGAGACGACGTTGGGACGATTTCTTGGATCTTGCGATTCCATGCGGGAAAAAGCGTGATTAGGACGGCGTGGGAGTCGTGACATTTGTGCGTGCCAGAAAGGGGTTTAAAAGATTCTCAGGTTTTCTAACGGTTGATTCCTTGTCCATTCTTTTCAACCATCGTTCTTTGCAAAAACTGGATTTGTTCCCCTGGGCTTCCGGCGGTTTTCTAGAAAGATTCGGATCCCTGGAAGGAATGGAAATGGAAGGTACCCCTAGATTTGTCATTGTCCCCAACCCTTCCAAGCCTTCTCCTCCTCAAAGGCCTCGCGCTGGTGCAGCCCACTTGTGAAATGGAAGGTAGCACTAGAATGATTGGGTCCTTTGCTTGGCATCCAATTCTTAAATCAGCTTTCGAAATTCAAGTGAAGAAAATGCAGATGGTGAAGGGAGCACTCGAAGTTTCTTTTCGAAGCCTCGAGGCTCACCCGGATCGGTGCCGCACCACTTGCAACGCCCGGACATCGCTGCAGCCGCAGCTGAACAAGGCACTTGAAGCCTCGCTTGGGTTTGGTGGGTCCCGAAGGGGCTGGGGTGAACCTTTTGCTTGGTACTTTCTTGGTTCATGGGGGCTGGGAGCCCAAACAAGCTCAAATAAGCCCAAATAAGCCAAAATAAGGCCTTATTTAGGGGCTTATTTGGGCTCCCTCCCCCCCCCCTTCCCTCCCCCCCAGCCCCCATGATTGGTGGCAAGCCCAGCCATCCAGTTCCTTAGGAGCTTCGGTCTTTGGTTGGTGCGGGGGTTTCCATTTTTCGCCCACGAGTGAACGAAACTTGCAGGGGATCTCGAGATCCCATTTTCGCAGCCATGGCCGGCGCAGCAATGTTCTAGGGGTACGGATCCTTCTTCCCAAAAGGCCTCACTAAACCCAGGAAACACGGATCCGGTTTTTGAAAAGAACGATGGTTGAAAAGAATGGACAAGGAATCAAACCCTAGAAACATTTAAGGGTGTTTACTAAGAACCGCACCATGGCCCGCATATCAGATCGTTTTGACGCATGGCACGGATGACAGGCCCGGATTCGGATTTGTGAGTGGCCGGCGCAGGCCATCCGCTACAAAGATCGCATTTCGATGAGCTACCCGGCCGCAAGGGTTGCCTTAAACCGGTCTGGCCAAGTGGGTGTGGCTCAAAATTTAAGAGCTAGGGTTACGCAGGTGTTGGTCTTTGTTTCCATTTCCTCCACTTACCTAGGGACCATTTTTGGGCAGCCAAGTGGATTCAGGAAGGTATCTATTTGTGGCCATAGGTGTCCTCTTTGGTTGCTTTGGTCGAACATCGAGGACGACTCCTGGTTGATTTGGCCATCTATTGTCCCCAAAGGACGTCTATGCCTGTGGTCATGCCACTCCTTTCCTTGGGGAACTTTTTAGCCAACGACCATGAAGCCAGAACCACGGCCCACATCCAGTAGTTTTGACCATCACTTGGCTACGATCGATCCTGGTCTTTGCGCCCCGGAAGTTGGGGTTGGCACGGATCAGAGGATCTGAGATCCGAGCCATGGGGCCCTTGAAGTGGCTGGAAGCCGTTTGGAGGGGTTCTCAAAGATATCTCTTGGGGCTGGGGTTTTCGCCCTACGCCCTTGGATGTGTATATATATATATACATATTATATATACATATAGGCACATACACACATATATATATATACACACATCTTGAATACAATTTCAGGATGTCGCCCAAGCATCTTGGGATGTGTCGGGGCCCCTCGACCCGGGTCAGGTCAGACATTGCCCAAACCCGTATGCCCAAACCCTCTCCACCCCCTTCGTGTCTTGAGCCTACTTTGGCATGCCCGATCTTGTTTGCTTGGCCCCACAGAGCTTCGCGGCTTCGAACCTGCTTAGGCGCCTTGCCTTATCTTCTCCTAGAATTCGTTCCAAATTTCTCCAACTGTTCACGTTTTCAGCCTCCTAGAATTCGATGAATTTGTCCAACTGTTCATTTTTTCAGCCAGCCAACCTGCCAAGCAACCCGGCCAAGCGGCTTTGGCTTTGCCCGAAAGGCCCGAGGCCCCGGTGATCGGTTCTGGTGCCTGAGGTGATCGGAATCCCAAGGATTTGTGGCCAGGCTGCAGCGTGGGCCGACCTCGCTGGGGCCATTGGTCTATACCCTTCCATTTCCAGGGGTCAATACCCAGTGGGTGTATTCCCAGGGTGTAATTAATACAAACAAAAACCCTTAGGGCCTCAACCCTAAGGATACCAACCCAAGAATCTAGGGGTACCTTGTCCATTCTGAACCCAGGGATCCAGATCTTTCTAGAACACCTCCTTAGGGGAAACGGATCCGGTTTTTGATGAAAGAACGATGGAAACGAATGGACCAGGAATCAACCCCTAGAATTGGTTATGTTTGGCTTGGCTTCCTGGAAGCACTCGGATGCGGGAAACCAAAGGAGTAAACTCTGTGTGATAGGCAGAGAATGAGAAATGGGATGAAACTTATAAACCGTTCCCTTGTGGTTCCATTCCCTACGGAGCACCAACAAGTAAATTTCAGCAACTGATGCAGCTGGTCGATGGTCGCCAAGAAAGAAACTCCCAGGTTCTCAGTGCCGGGATTCGAATTTCCCTGTGGAACCTCCAGGTCCCGGATTGCGAGTGTGAGCGTTTTTCCATGGACACCAAAAGGAACACCACCATCTTGTCCCCTAAAACAGCGTGTCACACGTATGGTTTGTCCAAAGGAGCCTCGGCCAGAAAGTTGGGTCCGGGTAGAACCTGCAAAAGGGGGGGAGGAGGGTGGAACTGCTCTCACAGACGAAAGGAACGCTCCCGCGAATGGCACGCGGGCCAACGAGCCAACCCCGACACAAATCCAGAGAACGAATCCCAAGCTTCCAACATTCTGCAACGCAGGGTGAACGTCGATGGCACGATTCCAATTCACCATACATGTGAGTAAATTGTTCAGGAAATTCGACTAAAACAAAAAGGAGTACCTGAAGTCTCCATGCCCTTTAAAAAGGGGTCAATGACCCACTATTTGGGGTAATGACCAACCAATAATGGGGTAATGACCAACCATTTTTAAAGGGTCAGAAGGAGACTCCAGGTAGGCGCATCTGAATTGTTGCATGGCACAGGCATAGGTGTCCTTTTTGGTTACTTTGGTGGACAAATAGATGGCGATTCCTGGTTTACCTGGCAATCATCTACCAGGGAAGCCCAATTTGCCCCAAAAGGACGCTTATGGGTGCAGAACCAAGAATGGGGTAATGACCGACCATTTTTAAAGCGTCAGAAGGAGACTCCAGGTATGCGCATGTTGCATGTTGCGCAGGTGGGAGCACCAAACCCTCCCTCCCTTTCGAGAGCCGAGGATCACCTTCAAGAGGGACCAGCTGCAGCTGGCGAGCTCCGAAGAGGCGGGCGGGCGTTCAGCCGAAACATTTTTCGGCGGCCGGCGGCGGGGGCCGGGTTTGGTGACGTAGTCAGCGGCCGTCTTTCTTTGGGGTTCCATTTGGCTGGGTTTATGGTTTTGACGGCTGCTTGGGGTTTTCACAATCAACTGGCGTTGTTGATTTTTAAGCTACCATATGGCGGTTGATTTGCGATGATGGTGAAAAAATGCAGCCAGATTTCGCTTCCCTTTGGTTTCCTTTTAACATCAACCCAAAAAGAACACCCTCCAAAAAAGGAACGACACCCTCGGGGACCTCCAAGGGGTATTGGGAGGGGGGTGTATCTCGCTTGTTACTCCTTGAGGTCTTACGGGCTTATCCTTGCGGCAAAAAAGAGTTTTTATGTTTGACGAATGGGAAAATCTCAAGATGCAGCCCGACTCGAACTCCCCAGGAAAGCGTCCAATGGTTTTCCACTCTGAACATATTGTAAGAAGCACAGAGGGCAAACCGAGCTCACCCAGCAAGGGATTCCTGATGTGGGTCTATCTTTGTTTGGGAATGCCCTTGTTTACGGTTTCAAAAGGGAAACCACGGAAACGCCACAATTTTTTGGAGTCCCCTCAAGAAGAGACACCCATGTCTGGTTTGAGAATGATTCTGTGATTTGCCCACGGATACATCATGAGAAAGTGGCGTACGCTGAGAAGGCAAGCCATTATTTTTCATTGAACATCAACCTGCCGACATTAACCGGACAGTCGTTTTTTGGTGTAGTCACGAGTGGGGTTTCCAGCTTCCTTAAGACCATTTTGATACCGATGGGTGTTGATTCTGACCCAGTTTCCCAGTGAGTTCGGGCGGTCTGCCCAAAGGGCGTGGCATGCCAGAGGCGTTTCAGGGAATCGATGGGGTTTGCTACCTGAGTTTTTTCAGCTGGGTTCTATGGCAATATAATCCTTTAATTAGGTTCCTACTTGGTTTAACCTGGGTTGTTGTGGCAATAAAAAACGTGTGGAGCCGAAAGTCAATGGGTTTTGGCTGCCGCTCAAATTTTTTTCCGCCACAGAAAGCATGTGCAAGGTCATTCAGGGCTCACTGGCTTTTTGGGCTCCAGTTTAAACACCTGCAACCTTTCAGCCGCCCGCGTTTCCGACTTTTTTTTTCCAGTGGCTTTAAAGTCATCGCCTTGTGGAAAGTCCTGTTTAGACTGGGTTTCCTTGGGGTTTGCGGTTCGGCCGGGACACAAATTTGGGGAACCCCTGACCGCCCATTTGGTTCATCCCCAAACCCCTTCAACCCCCCCTCCTCAACCCCCCCCTCCCCACCCCCCACCTCCTCCCCCAACCCCCCCCCTCTTCCAAACCCCTCCAACCCCCCCCCCCCCTCTGGAGGCCACTAACACGAGCGCGAACCCGGTCAAAGACAACACCGGGCAGCTGCGCTTCGTGGAGTCAATGAACTTCCCCACCCTGGTGCCTCGCCTCGTTGATCCTGGAACTTCGCGCGGAACTTCGCATGGATTCTTCCAGGGGTGGATTCCTGGGTAACAAGAAGGGGCAACTCTTGTCAAAAAAAAAGCAAAAGGAAACCAACAGGGATGAGTGTCTGTTGAGATTTTGCCACCCCTAAAGTCGCACGGTTGTAGGGGTTGATTCCTGGTCCATTCTTTTCAACCCTTGTTCTTTCCAAGAACCGGATTCGTTTTCCCCGGGTTTCCGGAGGTTTTCTAGAAAGAAGGATCCCCGGAAAGAATGGGGAAGGTACCCCTAGAATTCTTGTGGATTTTTTCCGGTGGATTTTCGTTCGGGATTTTGACGGTCGTGTTTTTGCCCGGGCAAGTGGGGTGTGGTTCTTAGAATAGGGCGCCCCCCTTAAACACATCGATGGATTCCTTGAAAACGTTAGGCTCGGACAAGTGGGGTGGAACACCCCCTGCGAATTCTGATGTCCACACTTTCGGGTTACACGGTGTCCTTTGGTTGCCCAAGGGACATGGCGCATGGGTGCTACCCCTCAAAAGCCATCCAAGTGCAGTGAAGAAATAGCAACTGCCGAGCTGAAAGAGCCGAAAGATCATGTCATAGACCAAAGTCCGTGATTCTTTGGGTAGCCGTTGGTCAGTGTGCTCAAATGGGAGTGTCCCAAAATTGGGGACCCTGTTCGGAATAAGATTTTGCAAGGGTAAGTTGGCGGGGGCGTCAACCAGTTGTAGGGTTCTTATGCATGTTGGAAAGAATCAGTCATTCCCTTTGGAGCAAGACATCCTTGCTGTTGGGGTTAGTTCGTATGACTCAGGCACCTATGTGAACTCCCATCCACTTGTTGGCTGGTTTTGGGAACAACCCGAAAGGGACCCCCTCCCCCCAATCCTTTGGTTTCCTTTACCCTCCAAAAACGACACCCCCACTTGACTTTGCCCCAGAAGGGCAGGTGAACCACCGTCGCCGCAGAGTCGTCGCAAGCTCGAGCAAGGCAGCTTTTGTTAGACAGGAGCCCTCGTCAAGTGATTGCGACTTGCTCGGAACCGAAAAATCGGGCAGGTGAAGGTTAAGGGATAGTCCCCTTGCCATAAAAATGGGTGCGGAATGGCGCCTTTTCACTTCTTGAAGCATGGTTCTTGGCAGACCTGCAGTGAGCTTCATGCATTTGCTGATGGAAGAGATGGTTTCCCAGATGCGTATCCCAGGAGTGTGGGCCTGCGGGACTGACCGACTGGAAGCCCTGCAAACCCCACCTTTCGAAAACAATACAAAAGAACAACCCAATCTCACAACCTTGGGGGCGGTGTCGTTGTAGGAACAGTTGGGCGTGTGCCATCGTGAGCCAGGACTTCCCCTCGGACCACGCCATTGTAGCAGCCATGCTGGAGCACAAGACTTGAGGCCTGAAAAGCGGGCCGCTTCGCCCCCCTTGGAGCAAGCAAGCGTGGCCGAAAGATATTTTTTCTCCCTTCTCCTGACATTTGTTTGTCCTAGATTCTTTTTTCCTCGTGGTCTAAAAGGGTTTGTGTGACGGTTTGAAAGCTACCGTTTTGGGACTGCTTCAAGGGATGATCAGGGAAGCTGCCTGTCGCGCGACCGACGCAGCCCCCAAAACCCTCACACTGGAAGCACCATCAGCACAGGGTAGTCCGTTTTCGTTTACAGGGCTGCTTAAAGGATACATTTTGCAACCAGTTGAAACATGGCTGTTTCCACCAAAATACAGGGAAACCACCATTTACAAGGCAATGTTCAGGTGTATAATGTAAGGATCCCTGCTCTACCTTGTTGGATGTGGCCTACCTGAAAAGCGTAGCTCTCTTGGTATGCTTCTTTTCTGGAAAGGGTCTCAGTTGTTCAGTGGCATCCTTTTTCCCCCCTTTTTTTGTGGCTGGTCACTGAACAACTGAGGGGTCAAAAGGACCGCCTTGCACCTGGCATGTTTCCTCAAAAACCAGCTGCCATCGATGAGCAGTTGGTGGACAAAATCCGCTTCGCACCAACTGGGATGCATGAAGCCCTAATGAATGAAGTGAATCACCTGGGTACTCACTTCCTGAGTTCATGAACTTTAAACATTTTGGGAAGACCATTTGAGTGGTACATACAAAGTTTGGACTTTTTGGGGCCAACTTAGCCACTGAGAGACCTACCGACGTAGGATTTGGTCCTCAACGAAGGTTCAGCTTTGTAGGGCCCATGTCGTTTCGAAACTCCAACATCGCACCAGGACGGTGAGCCAAGAGAAAATCACATTCGCAGCATGCTCCAAGGGGACATGTACGATTCGGGTGTCTTCGTATGGCATAATAGATGGGCCCGGATGGACTCTGACTCCGGCTGTTCAGACGATCTCTCTCATAGAAGATGGAAGCGGAGCAAAGAAACGTTGCCACTTTGTTCTTGGTGGCTCCCAGCCATCCCCTTAGCTTTTTAGCCTACGGGCAGCCCAGTTTTGTCTGTCCAGATGTCTCACCATTTCTCTCCCTGCGAATAGCAGGGAGCTTCCACAGAAGCAACGCATCAAGCTTTGCGCTGTCCCTTGATCCTGATTGCAGTGAATTTTTCATGGGTGAACATGGAATCCCAAAAGGGGGTTCCCCAAAAGGCAACTCCTCCAGTCGTATGAATTTCTGCTGTTCCATGTCAATCTGCGCGGGAGTAAGATTTGTTATATATTTGCATCCTTTTTGAGGGTACCACAAAAGGTCTCGTGCAAGGAAACAAAGGGGAATCCACCATTTCTAGGATTCCATGCCTAAACATGGAATTGGGGGGGGGGGGGGAGAATTCCAGATCTCCATTTATGATGTGCCAGAAATGCAATTGTGCGACCCCTCCTTCCCTCCCCTTGTAGGGGGGATTGCAACGGAATGATTCTGCAACTCCAGGACAATGGCAGACATGGCTTTGACTCTTGCGGGGAACATCCCCGGTGGCTCGGAGGGATGTGGCCTCAATGTGATTAAAAGGTCCGGCTTGGAAGAAGGCCAAGACAGCCAGCATGCAGGAGAAGGCACAGTTCCCACCATTTGGGTGTGGCTCAAAATTAGCCAGGAGGGGTTACGCAGGTTTTGGTCCATCTTTCCGCTTACCAGGGTTCCATTTTGGTACCGGTTTTTGAGCCACAGCCATTTGATGACAAAGCAATCAGAGATCGCCGTCGATGAATTGCTTTTTCCATGTGGCTGTGTTTGGTGTTCTACCTCCAAATTAGATGAGTCCCTGTTGCATTCTGAGCCTCACAACAAGACAGACCCTGAAACAGGGCTCCTTAAAAGATACATGTTGCCCATTTGAAACATGGCTTTTTCCACCAAAATAAGGGGAAACCACCATTTACAAGGCAATGTTCGGGTGTATAATGTAAGGATCCCTGTGAAAGCGTGGGATATCCTAGGCACTCCGAGGGTGGCTATGCAGCACAGGCGCCGGGGGACCGGTCAGACCGGTCAGGTGCTCCCCAACATCAACGCTGGGGTTGGTCTTGCGAGGAGAGAGGCAGACTTGGGGACCTACCAACGACGAGTCCCGTCAATCCCTTCTGTTCCTTCCTTACGGATCTCTCGTTTCGGCTTTTCTCCCCCGCGAAAAAGAGCCTGGCGTGAGCGTGGGTTTTTGTCTCCACGCTTGAGGGGTCGGTGGTCTTCATGTTCAGCTGGGGATACTGGATTCTCCTTGGGCCTATTGCTTGTGTTTGAGAAGAGGCCACCTTCCATTTGCTGCAAGCAGTGTGGGTTTTAAAGGGAAGCCATCACTACTGGAATTATGTTCCCATTTTGTCCGGGGGACGTACTCGCAAATGGAGGATGTCAGGATGTCAAACACGCCCTGTGCAGTCAAGCAAGATTTGGGATGTCTCAAAGACACGCGAGGAAACCTTTTCGCAACTTGCTCCAAGGAGAGTATTCCCGTCTTCGGATGCTTCTCAGTTTTCTGGAGCATCATTTGGGTCCAGGTGGCTTGCAACGCCACAGATCAACTCGATTTCATGGTGAATACAGTGAACCAGCGGTTGATATCAGAGGTTCATGCGTGTTTGTGTCTGACTTCGGGTATCGTGTCGGCATGTGGGATGCTGCCTGCCCTCGGAGCTGTTTGGCTTGTGAGCCAAATGAGACAAGCCAAGATGGTCTTGTACTGCACTAGATGGATCTGCTGACACAGGCCGAAAAAACACATCTAACCACAAAGTAATGGGCGGATACTCCATGTCTTCCCACGCCACGAGGAACCATTCTCTGACCTTGACCGTAGCTCGAATCACTGGAAGCTTTTGTTTGCCGGAGCCGATCACTGAGGGAGAGGTAGCGCAGATGTTATGCCTTGACTGGCACCTGAAGTGAAGCAAAGCAAAGCGTGAATCTTTGAGTCATCAAACTCCCGCTCCCCGAGTTGCCGACCGGCATGCGTTCTAAGACCATTGTAGTGGCACACGAAGAAGCTCAGAGATCCACTCGATCGGAGAGTCGTACGGCTCGGAGTGTTCCGCCTCTCGTCTTTTCCCGGATCTCGATGTCGCAGATGTGGGATGCCGTGCCCGGAGCCCCAAAACGGAAATGCGACGTCTCGACGTGGCCCCGCCCCTCTTCTCGTCTCCGGGATTGAGACCTCTTTTGGCATAATGTGTTTTGTTTTTCGGACGTTTGTAAGGCTCACGACATTTCATGGACCAGAATCAAACACATGTTGGATTTGGGTGGGCAAAACGCTGAGGACCCGCGGGCTTTTTCAGGACACCAACCCTTCGGAGGGCCAACATGCTACTTCATATCCACCGCCGGATGTGTTGGCCAGGGCAAAAGGCAGACCATCTCAGGCAGGGTTTGGATTGGTGGCTTGCGTGTAACCACAGTTCCTTTGACACCAACTGAGGAACCTGGTTCCAAGGTCCTTGACGAACTCAGGGGTGGATTTGGCAAGAGGTCTGTTCGAACGCGTCCCGGCCTGCGCCAAACAAACGCCCAGCACTGAGTTGCCCGTGTTCGAACACGTGTCCGGTCTTCAAGGGACTAGAAACCCGGGGACAAATGTGTTCACATCCTGGCCACAGCCAAGCCGGCTGTTTTCCTCAACTCGACTTGCCGCTTATGGTGGGTTGACCAAATGTAGACCACCCTTTCGACTCCCTGCAAATTAACATGGAACCCAGAAAGGAGGTCCCCCAACGAGGTTCCTCTTAAAAAAAAAAAAAAACGGTGTTTGGATCCGGATCCATCTTAAGGTTGGGCAACCCCTGGTGTTTTGGATCGGTTTGGGGAGTTGAACTGTGGTTCTATGGAGTCAGTCGGACACCGCCCAGCTCCGAAACGCCGGACTCCAAAACGCCAGAACCGTGTCCAAGGGAGCGGGGGGGTTCGACGCTCTTATGCACGGTATGTTAAGAACAGACGACAGGTTGAAGTGCCTTTGCTTGCTTGCTTGGTTGCTTGGTTGGTTGGTTAGTTGGTTGCTTGGTTGGTTGGTTGCTTGGTTTCTTGCTTGCTTGTTTCTTGGTTTCTTGGTTGCTTTGCTTTGCTTTGCTTTGCTTTGCTTTGCTTTGCTTTGCTTTGCTTTGCTTTGCTTTGCTTTGCTTTGCTTTGCTTTGCTTTGCTTTGCTTGGTTGGGTCCGTGGGGTGGGTGGTGGGTGGTTCGCTTGGGCAAAATGACAGCTTACGTAGCCTGAAACCACGAGAGGACACACAAGATGGCCAGGGTTGTAAACTCTTTCAGTTGCCCAAGATCGCTTCTTCACATGGTGGGCGGGGGGCCTTGCTTGTTGCACTCATACCCTCCCTCCCACTGACATAGCACCTGTGGGAGAGTACCTGGAAGATAACTTTCCTCTCGTAGGGATCCTCTGGCAGGTGCCATGTTAGTCGCAGTGCGGGGTAATTGCTAAGAATGTGATGCCACGGGCACTTAAAAATTGCTAAGAACCGCGCGAAACACGCCTTCGGCCAAATTTCCGCGAACCTCCGCGGTTTGGTCCTAACTTGTCGACATGCTTGTTGAGCGGGAGGGGGAAACGCCATGCTTTGGCTCCGCCGAGGCTTTGGCCGAGACATCAATTGACGCGGGAGTGGCCCACCCATGAAGCCCTGTCTAGAAAACAGTTTGGATAGGTTTTTGCGGATGTCACACGGTTTTACGACTTTTTGTTTGCGATCTTTGAGTACTCTTCAATATCCTGGGCGACGTTCAAACAGCTTCGTCGAGGTGCCGCATCCTGGGCGGGCTGCTGAAGGTCTTTGCGGTGCTGCTGGGCTCCACGCTGCTGGGCGGCCTGCTGGGCTCGCTCCTGGGCGCCTCGCTCGGGCGTTGCTGGGCTGAGCGTTTCGCGGCCCGCGGCGTTCGCGGCGTGCGCGGTGTGCGGGGGGAAGGAAATGCGGGGTTTGGGCGGTCACCTTACGCGTTTGGGGCGTAATTTTGTCCCTTTTGTTTGGGAAACAATCCGAATTTTGACCTGGGGATGGCTTTTTTTGGGGACCCTCCAAAATGGTGGGGTTTTCATGGTTTTCCTTACGGTTGCCCTTTGCCAACCAGAAAAGGAATTTTCTGGGAATCGGACGGAACAAGGTTCTCACATGGCTCGACCCAGAGATCCTTCGGCTGTACTTTGGCTTCGGAGATCCGGAGCACCGCTCTCGGTGTCTCGAGAGCCGTTTTGAGCGCGGAAACGCGTAGGAATGCATAGGGATGCACTCCAGCCGGCCATCTGCCTGGAGTCTCCATGACCCTTAAAAATGGTTGGTCATTACCCAAAGTAATCATTGACCCATTTTTAAAGGGTCATGGAGACTCCAGGTGGATCGACTGAGTGTTATTTCGGAGGAGCAATTCAGTTGGGGCACATGTCATGCTGTGGTCGCTGCTGGCCCGTCGCATGTTGAGACTGTGCTGCCTTGTAGGTTCCGATTTTGACCCAACCCACGGTACCCCAAACAGTTCAATCCCTTGAGCTGGATTTGGGTGTGCCTTTTTCACAGTAACCCCGCGAATTGTGTCTTTCCACTAGGTCCGCCAGTAATGCCCTTTTACCCTTTTTGGGGGAAGGGTTCCCCTACTAAAATAGACTATAGAAAAAAGGGTACCCTTATTCCAACCTCTCTGCTGGAGGACCTAGAACAGGTAGTTGTCTAGTCCCATGAACAAAACAGAGTTTTTCACCCAAGCCTAGTTTGGTTTGGGAGCCCCCCTATGAGCCACTACAATATGGACGCGTGGAAGCTTGGAGTCCCAGAAACGGCCCAATCGATTTGTTGCCTGTGACTCAAGTGGATCTTCCCCAGGCCCCCGCTCTTTCTTTCCCCCGAGCAAAACTTTTTGTTTCTTCTCCTGTTTTTTTTTGTTGTTGTTTGTTTTTTTGTGGGCGGTTGCCCCGCCCCTCTTGGTTGCAAAAGCACGTCGCCGTGCTTCTTGTTCCCCTTCTGGCTTACTTTCCAAACAAAACGATTGCCTTGGTGGCGAAGCCAGCCATCCGACCCTTAGCTTTTTAGATCCTTTCAGTGTTTAGTGGTTTCCGTATTTCACCCACTAAAAAGTGAGCTACACTTTTCGCAGATCTGAAAACGGGCAGCCTTGCCAGAATTTCCTAAACCACTCGATTTGCTTCCTTCCCAGCCGCCAAATCCGGCGCGTCCTGGGCTCGTTTGGACTGTTTCTGAGGGTTGAAGGCAGGCAATGGGATCGTTTCCCTTGCCCAATCACCTACAAGTCTAGGGGTTGATTCCTGGTCCATTCTTTTCAGCCATCGTTCTTTTCAAAAACCAGCCAGTTCCACAGGGTTTTTGCTGGTTTTCTAGAAAGAAGGATCCCTGGAAAGAACTGGGAAGTTACCCCTAGAGCAAGGGTTCCATGTTAGGCACCCAAAAAACGACCAGTGATAGTTTCCGCTTTCACTGCCACCCCCCCAGCGACCTCCCCCCCCCCCGAAGCGACCCCTCCTGCTGGGCGCGCGAGCGCCGAGGCCTGCTGGGCGCCTTCGTAACCTTCGGCACCTCGCTGCTGCTGTGGCCTCTCTGCGGTCTGCTCGGCGCCTGCGGGGGCTTCTTTCTGGCCTTCAGGCAAAGCAGCGGGCGATGCGCTGGGCGAAGCGGATGCGCTGTTTCGGGGGCGGCAAAGCGGATGCGCTGTTTCGGGACGGCGAAGCGGATGCGCTGTTTCGGGGGCGGCGAAGCGGATGCGATGTTTCGGGGGCGGCGAAGCGGATGCGCTGTTTCGGAGCTGCGAAGCGGATGCGCTGTTTCGGGGGCGGCGAAGCGGATGCGCTGTTTCGGGGGCGGCGAAGCGGATGCGCTGTTTCGGGGGCGGCGAAGCGGATGCGCTGTTTCGGGGGCGGCGAAGCGGATGCGCTGTTTCGGGGGCGGCGATGCGGATGCGCTGTTTCGGGGGCGGCGAAGCGGATGCGCTGTTTCGGGGGCGGCGATGCGGATGCGCTGTTTCGGGGGCGGCGATGCGGATGCGCTGTTTCGGTGGCGGCGGATGGCGGCGCATGCGCTGTTTCGGGGGCGGCGATGCGGATGCGCTGTTTCGGGGGCGGCGATGCGGATGCGCTGTTTCGGGGGCGGCGATGCGGATGCGCTGTTTCGGGGGCGGAGATGCGGATGCGCTGTTTCGGGGGCGGCGCTGCGGATGCGCTGTTTCGGGGGCGGCGATGCGGATACGCTGTTTCGGGGGCGGCGATGCGGATGCGCTGTTTCGGGGGCGGCGATGCGGATGCGCTGTTTCGGGGGCGGCGATGCGGATGCGCTGTTTCCGGGGCGGCGATGCGGATGCGCTGTTTCGGGGGCGGCGATGCGGATGCGCTGTTTCGGGGTGCGATGCGGATGCGCTGTTTCGGGGGCAGCGATGCGGATGCGCTGTTTTTGGGGCGACGATGCGGATGCGCTGTTTCGGGGGTGGCGATGCGGATGCGCTGTTTCTGGGGAGGCGATGCGGATGCGCTGTTTGTGAGGCGGCGATGCGCATGCGCTGTTTCGGGGGCGCCGATGCGAATGCGCTGTTTCGGGGGCGGCAATGCGGATGCGCTGTTTCAAAGGCGGCGATGCGGATGAGCTGTTTCGGGGGCGGCGATGCGGATGCGCTGTTTCGGGGGCGGCGATGCGGATGCGCTGTTTCGGGGGCGGCGATGCGGATGCGCTGTTTCGGGGGCGGCGATGCGGATGCGCTGTTTCGGGGGTGGCGATGCGGATGCGCTGTTTCGGGGTGCGATGCGGATGCGCTGTTTCGGGGGCGGCGATGCGGATGCGCTGTTTCGGTGGCGACGATGCGGATGCGCTGTTATGGGGGCGGCGATGCGGATGCGCTGTTTTTGGGGCGACGATGCGGATGCGCTGTTTCGTGGGCGGCGATGCGGATGCGATGTTTCGGGGGCGGCGAAGCGGATGCGCTGTTTCGGGGGCGGCGAATCGGATGCGCTGTTTCGGGGGCGGCGAAGCGGATGCGCTGTTTCGGGGGCGGCGATGCGCTGTTTCGGGGGCGGCGATGCGGATGCGCTGTTTCGGGGGCGGCGATCGGGGGCGGCGAAGCGGATGCGCTGTTTCGGGGGCGGCGATGCGGATGCGCTGTTTCGGGGGCGCCGATGCGGATGCGCTGTTTCGTGGGCGGCGAAGCGGATGCGCTGTTTCGGGGGCGGCGATGCGGATGCGCTGTTTCGGGGGCGGCGATGCGGATGCCCTGTTTCGGGGGCGGCGATGCGGATGCGCTGTTTCGGGGGCGGCGATGCGGATGCGCTGTTTCGGGGGCGGCGATGCGCTGTTTCGGGGGCGGCGAAGCGGATGCGCTGTTTCGGGGGCGGCGATGCGGATGCGCTGTTTCGGGGGCGGCGATGCGGATGCGCTGTTTCGGGGGCGGTGATGCGGATGCGCTGTTTCGGCGGCTGCGATGCACTTTTTCAGGGGCGGCGATGCGTTTTTTCAGGGGCGACGATGCGCTTTCTCAGGGCGGCTTTGGGTGGGTGCTGACCAGGAAACCAAAAGGCGAATCAAGGCGAGTTTGAAAGATGCAGCTGCAGCCTTGGGTCCACTGAGAAATCTATGAATCCAATATTCTAAAGTTTACAATAAATAATACAAAGAGAAAAGAAATATAAAAAGATGAAACACATGATAAAGATATAGAAATATTATAAGATAAACAATATGAAAGAGAAATAGCTTCAGAATCCATTCCTTCGTGTCATCTGGATTCTATTTCCTGTTTGCCGCCGCCGTGAGACAGGGAACGGCTAGGAGGTAGAAAGAGATGTCAACAATCATTTATCTCTGAGACGTCTTTTCCTTATGATCCAATATTATCCCAACCTGATGTAGGAAGGTTGGATGACAAGGAATTTATTTCTCTTTCATAATCTCTGTCCTTGGCATAGAAATCTTATGGTTATTTATCTTTCTAGTCTTTTATTATTTTTGTTTGTTTGTTTATATTGGATCATTAATTCCATCAAAAATCATTTATCTAAGACTCACCAATATAAACTGTCTATCTTAGAGACTTCTATCACTCACTAATTCATTCCCGTTCGCCAGCGCCATCTGCTTTTCCGCAGGGAGAGCTCTTCCGACATGATTCCTTTTCCAGCTGGACGTAGGTGCGTAGATTTGCTGTCTTTCAAGCAGAGCCGAAACCGGATGGCCATTCTACGCCAAGTCAAGGGGCCAGCTTGGGACAGCCGGGCTCATGGGCCATGGCGCGCGCCTGGCAAGTGGGGGTGTGGTATGGGGGACCCGCAGGTTCTGCGTACCAAGCCCCAGGAGCCTTAGGGTAGTGGGAGCGACGCAATTGAGCTTCCCCATTGGCAGAACTGGCAACCAGCACGTCCCGGAAACCAACAGAACCCCCCCCCCCCCCCCGGACCTCACCCCGACCAGAGACCAGAGAACATGGATTCCCACAAGGGGACACACACACCCTATCAATGAGGAGAGTATTCATCCAGGGTTCCCACTGGCCCCATGGACTAAACAAAAACAGGAACCAAGGAACCATCCAAAACCACGGCCTTGCTGGGTTATGGTCATAAGACGTGCGAGAAACGACCCGCGCAACGAAGCCACGCAACCCCGCAGAGAGAGGCACTACACGGGCAAGCTGGAGGCTTTGCTGCTGTACCAGCCCCGGCGCATTCGCGAACCTTGACGCAAGCGGCATAGCGGGGAGATGCCGCGATATTGAATTTTGGTGCCCAGAGGTCCGCTTTTCTGTAAACACCACTTGCATACCACACATGGACATGCCCCACAAAAGTGGTGGCACAGGGTACATACCGCAGAATCCATCCCTATATACGGCCCTTTTGATCGGATATCTCCATAGGGGGCGATATGGGGCGATGTATTTGAACAGCTTCCTCTGCTCCGATGGGATCATTGGGATTGATTTGTGGATCCCTGGAAATTGGGTTCACTCAGCGCCAGTGAAAGGGAACGAAACGTGGAAGCATTGATGTGCGTGAACTAGCAGTGCCCCCCCTCCATTGTCGTCTGTTTCCTTTTCGTTTCCCTTTCAAAGCAACTGACTTGCGCGCGCGGATCGCAACGATTCGTTTGACTTCTGGGAAGCTAAGGCTTGTTTCCCCAGCTGACTGCCGCTCTCACGGATTCCCTTGGAGCCCAAATTCATTTGAGTCACAATCAAAGCCCGGGTAGGTGAAGGTTAGTAAGGAGAACCCCAACCATAAATGGGTGTCAATTCTAAACATGGTTCAGGATATAACATTTTAATACCGTGTTTTGATCATGACTTATTTGTGCTTTCGCACTTTCCCTGACACACTCGGGCTCGGCCATCCCATGTTTGAGTGGCACAACTTTCTGGGTCGAGTTTGGCCTTTTACCAGAAACTGCCCAGCAGCACATCTTCAGGCTGAGAACACCTGGTTGATTTTGAGAGATGGGGGCGTTTTTTTTTTTGTGGGGATTCAGACCAAGCTTGGAGGGCCCCCCACCCCCCTTAAAGAGCGGACGTGTTTCCCTCAGTTTGCATCATAAAGCATCAGCAGCCGTCACGCTCGTAGGGTCCAATTAGAATGGGGTGTGGGGTACTTCCAAACCAACGCTGGGATACATGGGTATGGGTCAACAGTTCACCACCAGAAGACCACAGGTTTTAGTCCATGTTTTCATTTACCAGGGTTCCATTGTGGGTACCGAGTTTTGACCCACAGCCAGATCATGACAAACCACAGCCTTGGGTGTCACGAGCAGCTTGCGCTAGAAACCGCGTGCCGAGAATGCATCCTTCCTCGACCTCACGTGGGACGTCGCAGACGTGCAGACTCCGGGCAGCAAGATACCGTTTTTTTTTGGCTTGATCAACTCCCTGAGACTGCGGCTCAAAATGGGGCTCGGATTGCTCTTTTGGCTTTACTCCTTGGCAATGCTGTGGTATTTTAGCATTGGATGAATCCCAGGACCCCTCTAGTCAAAAAGCCCGATCATGTCCCTACTAAAAGGGGAACCATCGCTGATTAGTACGGTCCTCCAGGACTTTTTGCCTTTTTTTTCTTCGCCGGACGTTTTTTGGGGCTTCTGATCGTTTTTCGCGGGGCCGAAGAGCAAAGTGTGTTGCCGTTGGGAAAGGGACTAGTGGTAGTCAAGTTTCAGAGTGTCCCTTTTTTGGGTGGCCCGTGATTTTTTGATTTGGACTCCTCAGAATGTTGGTCTTCTTGTTGGTTTCCCTTGCAAACAAGGAGACTTACTCCCCTGCAAATGAATAGGAGGAACCCAAAGGCAAAGGAGTTTCCTCTACAAATGTTGGTTGTGGGGTTTCATGTTAATTCGAAGAAAAGTACCCACCCACCAGCATGAGCCTTATTGAGGCTAGAGGAAAGATCATTTTCCTCTAAAACATACCCTCTAGTGCGTTTCACGGTTCCACATTTGTTGGTTGGTTGCTCGTTTCTTCAAAATTCCAAGCAACCTCCAATAATCATTTTGCCTACATTCTTTGCAACACGCTTGACCATGCAGGTGTCTTTTTCATTGCCAGACTTAGCTTACCTTCTTCACCTTGCTCTGTTGGTTTTCCACCATTTCGGGTGTTGGGGACCCCCGAAAATGATGGTTTTCCCATTAGTTTCCCTTTCGAACCAACCAACAGGGGTCCCCTCAAAGTATAGGAACCACGTCAGTGTTCCCCCCTTTCAACCAGCACACAGCTATCACCTTCGGGATCGGGCGCTGGCCTGGGTGGTTAGGCCCTGATTGATGACCCGACCCCCCACTTGCCGGACGTCGCTTAAAGAGGGGAGTCCTTTCTTTAGGCCCTTGAGCAACCGGAGGGGCTTCAGGAATCAACCATGTCAGGTTTGGCTTTCTCTGTTGGTTGGTGGCTGCTATTTTCGGGGGATGGTTGTGCCTTACGTCTGGTGCCTCTGAGCATCCCCGGCATCACCAGCCTACTGGCGATTCAATCCCCAAAGGCCCTGATCCAGTTGATGCTGGGGATGTTGCCGGTGCGAAAAAACAGGCGGGGTTTGAGTTGTGTTTTTGCGCGCGTTGTGCACGCGCGTCAATACGGTGGTGGGCCGGGGGGGGGGGGGGGGGGGGGGGTTCGCTCGCTTGAATCGAGGTATTCAATTCAGACTCTGTCATACCCAGTGCCCGGCTTGGGCACTCACGTGGCGTACCTCCTGAGACCTTCAGGCGGGAGCGAGCATCCCTTCCGTTTCTGTGCATAGGTCCGTCTATTTTATGGCGAGGTCACCGATCCGGGGGTACAATGAGCTCACTATGATAAAGGCCCTTTACTTGGGCATTTCTGAATTGAGCAGATAGGTGTCCTTCTGATCGTTGAGTTGGGTTGGACATAGATGGCTTCCACTGGTTTAGATGGGTTGTTTGCCCCATTTACCAGTGAACCCATCGATGTTTCAAAACGGTCACCTATGATCCCTTCCGTTTTTTTGGTGTGTCCTTGAACAATACATTTTGAGGGTTCCCGCATCTAAAGACAAACCCATTTGGGGGAAAATCTTCCTCTCGTTTCCCCGAAATGGTTTCAGGAATCTGGCAGACATATGTTCAATCATTTTTTTTTAGGGGGGACGAACGCACGTGGAAGTGGTATGTTTTGAGGACTTGTTCGTTTGTTTGTGTGGCTAGGGTATGGGCTTTTCAAAACGGTGTACCCTCAAAGAAGAGACAGACCAACAGGTAGGTACTCGTTGCAACCATAGGTGTCCGCGGGGAAACATACGGAGAATGGTTCCTGGCTGCAACATGGAACCTAAGTGTCCATGACACGGGGCGGGTGGGGGTGGGGACCCAAAAAAAGACACACCCATAAGGAGGTTGCTTGGACCGCCTTTGGATTGGTAGAGGGAAGCTACAAGGGAAGTCACGGTTTTAGGGGACCACCATCTTGAGACAACCCCATTGGCCAACGCGCAAGTGAGGGGCCCCTGTTTTAGTCCCAGAATCTTCTATTTGCTGAAATGTTTTTTTTGTTTTCCCCTTGTTGGTTTTAAAAGGAACCTTATCACTATCTGGACATACGTTTATTTTTTGCAGAGGTCTCAACCAAATGGAAGTGTTTTTTGCAAATTGTGGTGGGACACATGTTTAATTTTTGCTTATTGTGGTTTAGTGGTTGAAATCCAACCACTCAACTGCTCAGACTTAAATTCTTGCTCCCCTTCCAACGTCAACCAGGAAAAATGTTGCAAATGGCGCTGGATACGGCCATAGGTGTCCTCTTTGCCTTCTTAGGTGAGCCTGGTTAAGAATAGATGGCACTGGCTTAGATGGGTTTCGTTGCATTTACCAGGGCCATCTATTTTTCCAAAAGGCCACCTATGGATACGGCCCTCACGTTGTTCGCAGACTTTCTTTGCTTTGGATCTTGCGAGTTTGCAAAGGAACCTCGGTGGCTGCGCTGGCTGTCGGTCTTTGTCGGGGGAGATGGGGTGTCTGCTCGAAAACTCCTGCCCTGGCCCCCCGTCCTAAATCGTAGAATCATCTCCAGGCCGGGCAGCTCATAAGACATCAAGAAGTGGGAAGGATTACTAAGACCATATAAATAATTTAACAGGGCTCCTTAAAAGATACATTTTGCCCATTTGAAACATGGCTTTTTCCACCCAAATAAAGGGACACCGCCATTTACAAGTTGCAATGCTCAGGTGTACAATGCATCCGGATCCCTGTTTAATTGATATATATATATATATATTGGTGGAATCACAACCCACCACTTCGGAGACTCCCAGAGATCGATTTAACTTGAAGCCCAGGCTTCAAGGCTTGGACTGTGATTTTTTTTAAGAATCGGCTGAGGTGCCAGAAAAAAAAAGAGCACCTGGAGTCTCCTTTGGTGCATTTTGCCAACGGCTGTTAGGACTTTAACTTTTTGCCAGCTAATGGGCTTCCCACTAAACCACTAATAGTTAAACTTTTAGCAGGGGAGCAGAAAGCAAGCGAGTGGATTCCATGACCCTTTAAAAATGGTTGGTCATGACCCAAAATTAGGGGGTTATGACCCAAAAAACATCTAGGGGTCAGAAGGAGGCTCTAGGCACGTGCACGCACCGCCGCCGTTCTGTGCTTTGTCCCCCAGGAAAAATCGTCATTGGGCACAGCTTCCCGCATTGGTTCCCGCATATGCTTTTGGGTCTACTTAAAGTCTTTATGTCCCCTAGAAACAGGGGTCCGGTATGTCCAAGGGCCAGGGTTCGCGTTGGTCTTACTACAACAAGTGCAACCACTCTTGGTACCGTGGAAGGCCCCAATTTTCCAAGGAAAGCTCACCCCAACCAATCCAAGGCACCTTTTCTTGCTGGTGCCACAGGTAGGGAATGACCCTTCCGGGTTTTGGGATTTCCTTCTATAAACGACACCACCAGTTGGATGGGTTATGGGGGTCGTTCCATTTCTCATTCCCTGCCTATCGCACCAGCAAGTTTTGCACCCCTTTTTTGTTGTTCCCTTTCGGTACGGGCGAAAGAAGAGCAGTCCCCAACCTGATCTGCGAGCCAAGAAGTCCTATGAAGGGCCCGAGATCAATCTCTGACTGCCAGTTTGTGAATGGTACTGTGGATGGACGAAATCCATTTCGCACCACTTTGAAAGAATGAGAAACCCTTCTTTGTGGGCATTTCCCAGGGAATCGAATCATTTACCAGCTTTCTTAGGTGCGAAATGGATTCTGTCCATCCACAGTATGTTGGGCAAAGTTTATTTCCTTGGGATTGGCGGTTTGGACTTCATGTCTCCCGGCCAATTTTGAGTCACATTCGAAAAATCGTTGCCAGTGACGGGTAAGGGCGAGTCCCAAATGGAGATATTTGCCATGGGTGCAACCGTTGCCAGATTTGATTTTCTGGCTCAGGTTAAAGAGACGTGCCCTCTCATGGAATCTAGGGTCCAAACTGATCTGCCCAGTGGCTCTGGCTCAAAAGACCACAATGGAAGCCTCTTAAATTTTGAGCCATGCCCAAGTGTCCTGCAGGTGCCTTGTGTTTGTGGGAAGGTTTTCGTTGGAGGTATGCTGTGTTTGTCCATCAGCACGTGGCTAGGCGACGTGGATCAGCTCTGGGTTCTCTTTGGTGGCAACGCCATGCTCAGCAACGACTGGTTGCCCTTCTGCGACAAGGCAAGTCGAGCGGCGTCGGGGTCGGGGTTCGTCCGGCGGAGGGCGACCGGCTCTCCCTTTTTTGTATTTATTTATTTTTGTTTTGGGGTAAGGCCCAGCGGGGTAAGGCGTCCATAGAGGTTTTGCCGTTTTTGGAAGGACCAAAGAACCAGCAGCGACTGAGGTTGCCATGTGCAGGGTTTTACTAACACCTGTGCGAGAGGGAGGGATTGACGGAGGGAGGACCTTGGGGCCATAAGAAGCTGGGCTTAAATTTGCATGGGTTGATTTCCCCCGCATTGCTGGCCGAAGTGTTTGTGAGAATGGTTCCCAACTGGATACAGGACCTACTGTCAGTTTGGATGCCGCACGCCGGCTGGCCGTTTCGTTTTGGGCCCATCCTTGGTCTGCTAGTCTATGCGCTTAAGGACAAATCGCTCAATGAACCGCGATTCAAGCGCCAGGGTTGGGCGATTCAACCCCAATGGCCACAGTTTCGAGGGCTGAGTTTGAGCAAAAGATGAGTTTGTTTTTTGCGGGGGGCGGTCGAGCCTTCTTGGTTCATGGCTTGCCGCCCAAGAGGGCTGGACGTCGGTGAAGCAACACAGCCCAGTTGAAAGGGACACCTGGAGGATGTTAACGCAACAGGAACTTAACCTTGTTTAAGGACGTGCCAACCGCCAAAGTCACAACTCAAATTGCCCCTAGCAGTGCTACCTTGAAACCAAAGGCATTCGTTCATAGCTCCCAACCATTGTTCCCAGCCCTGTTTGATTTGTCTGGTTTTGTGCCTCTTTGGCTTAACTTCAAAAGCTGGGTGGGCTTTTGGTTCGGTTCGCTTTCCCTTCGGTTACTCATTTGTGACTCATTTGTCTGTGGGTCAAGACCAATGGTAGGTGCAGCAGCCATTTTGGAACCTATTTTGGTGATTGGGATGTTCACTGGGGGTATTGGTATGGGATTTTGACCCATGGCCATCTGTGACTGGGTCTGAGGACACGATCCATTTGTCACCTTGGATGTTTGCAAGCCATGGCGGCCCTTTTTCGGCGCATCCATGCGTGAAAAAATGCCCAAACGCTCTCGTCAGCGAGAAAAAAAGGAAGGGGAGTGTTGGATGCAGGAAATTGCGGTCCCCTTGGGGCAATCCTTTCGTCCAAATGCGCGGCATGCGGCTCAGAAGCTCGTGCCTTAGGCTCTGTCGCACTTGGCGGATCAGCAGTCGCCCGACAGGCGCTGCAGTTCGGTTCGCCCGGCGGTGAAAAGCTTTTCAAGGCACAAGGTCTTTATGCCGGCTGGTAGCGGTTTTTCGTGTTGTGGTGTCTCACTGCGGATTTTGGACTAGGATTGGGACAACAGCTGCAGTCATGTGCAACATTTGAATCGGTTTCAGGTTGCCACGTGTGGCACACTCGGGAATCAAATCCATCGGAATCAACCCCTTCCAACAGGTCAAGTTTCAGACTCTAGCAGACGGCGCTGCAAGAGATCTGTTTAACCCATAACATCAACGAGGCTTCAAAGAAGTGATTTGGGTTTGTGTCATTTCCTTTTTGGTTCTTGTGAAATTGACCTGAAAGTGGTGCCTTTGATAGAAACACAGACGCACAGGCACAGATACAAGCAGACACGCAGACACGCAGACACGCAGACACGCAGACACGCAGACACGCACGCAGACACGCAGACACGCAGACACGCAGACACGCAGACACGCAGACACGCAGACACGCAGACACGCAGACACGCAGACACGCAGACACGCAGACACGCAGACAAGCACATACACATATTCATGCATCTATGTATATATATATATATATATTAAATATACACATATGTATACATACATGAATTACACACGTAAGAGGCATGGATCTTGCAGGCAAGGATGGCTGAGGCATTGCTTTCTGACCCGGGCCATGTCATGATGAAATCGTTTCTTTTTAATTATTTGCACATGTGACACGCCAACATCATTGGGTTTGAGGAATCTGTTTCTGTACAATTCGTTGTGCTATTGTGGCAATCGTTCCAAAAGCCAACCGATGCCTTGCTGTATAGTTATACACCTTCAATGAAGCATGCAACCCGCGTCACCCTTACGTAGCTGAGTCGCTGGTCAGGGCCAAGACGGCTTTTCTGCTGGTAGACTACCCCGGCTACGGCCGAAACGCAGGCAGGGCGAAGGAATGTGAGTCTGGTGAAGGAACCGGAACTCGTGAGGGTATATATAGTTCTTTCTTCGAGGCAAATGGGGATGTCCAACAATTTAGAGGTTACCAGCATCTACTATGAGAAGGTGGACACAGCCCACAATTGAACCATGTCACCCTCTTGTTTTCAGGGGAAGAGGGTCATTCCCCCCAACTGAACCATCCCACCTGGCGGAGTGCCCTGTACATTTTTGCGTACCATGCTTTTAATCTTGTTTCGTCTAAAGCTTCTTTGTTGGACTTAGCAACGCCTGATTCATAGAAGGTAAACTGATTAAGTTTCATATCCATCCCTTTGTAGGTGGTTGACATCCAGGAGGGTTCATTCCCCGACCCCGAGAGCCAGCCAGCGCCAGCTCATCGCCCGCGAGGAAGCGCTCAAAACTCAGGGTGTCGGTTTGTGGGTACCCCTCTTCTTCTACTTGCTTTTTTTTAAATCTTGGTTTAAAAGGGAATCTATCACAACTGGACATATTTACATTTTTTCCAGGGGCTTAAGCAAATGGAAGTCTTTGGAGCGGACCAACCGCCCACTTGGCTGCGAAATTCAATCGGTTGGTGAACATACAGCGGGGTTTGGCTTTCGAAAACACACATCCCAACTAGTTGGTGCGCTGCTTGTTGTGTCTTCCCTGAACGAAACCACCCTCACCCCAAATTGTTGGCTTACTTTCGGTTGCGTTTCCATTTAATTCTACGAGCTTCGCGTTGCCCGCCTCGGCCGGTATATTTTTGGCTGGCTTTGAGGTACTATGTTTTGGTTTGCCTTGAGGTGTGGTGTTTGAGTGAGTGAGTCGGCCGTCTATTGGTGTTCTTTGGGCGGCTTCCCATATTGGTCCCCTTTTGCTAGTTCCTCTGAAGAGAAACGCGCATCCCAAATAGGTTTCTTGCTCTTGGCTGTGGTTTGCTGAAAGAAACACCGCTTCACAAATGGTTGGTTTCTTTTTGGTCGCGTCCCTCCAAAAACAAAAAAAAGCCGACGGGTTTGGCGTTCTTGTGTCTTCCCTTTTGGCACCCACTCACGTCCCAGGTGGGGCTTCTTCGGTTGTGGGTTCCACGTGGCTTCTCTCAAGGCCCGAGAAGGACACATCCACAAACCGGTGGTTTCCCTCGGAAGGCTCCTGCCAGTTTTCTTGTTCTAGTTCCCTGAGTCAAGCAACTCCTCAAGGAGAGCCTCGTGTAAAGAGACCACGTTCGATGTGCGTGTGCGCGCGCGCTGTTCCTTACAGGAAGCCACAACCAAACATGAGAGCCTTAGTGTGGTGTGTGTGTGTGTGTGTGTGTGCTGTTTTAAAGGGAAAACACAAGCAGCAGGAGACGAAGCATTTTACGTGTGTTTCTATCTTTGAGGGAGATTCAACCACAAGGAACCTTCCATGTTTAGTTGTGATGTCCCCGGGGAGCACAACCCACATATTCAAACATTAAACTTTCCTTTTTGGTCGTGGTTTCCTTTCTATCGACATGCAGTGCACACACATGAGTTGACCGAAAGGGAAAGGGCCACGCCCCAGCTCTTGATTCATGATATTCATGTTCATGTCACGTCTAGGGATCACTCCCAGCGGAGGGGAAGGAATGAGGGATTTTCGACATGAGGCTCGCCGTTGCGGCGGTTTCTCTGAACAACATAGTGTTGGCTGTGGTTTCCCTAAAAACCAACACACACTTTTAAGTATGCGTCTGTCCTTTCTGGTTACAACAAACATCTTCAAAAACGAGGCTCTCCATTTTAGTCGTGGCTTCCCTGTGGACAGCAACACACATACACGTTCCAACAATGAGACCCTCCCTTTTGGTTCTGGTTAGGGGCTATCAACGTCAAAGCCATCCTTTGCAGGGCGTTGAGGCACACATTCACAAGGGTTCAGCACACCCATATGGGTCCGTTTTTTCTTGCGGGCATCCTTTTTGGATGGTTTTTTCACGGGGAACTAAAAAGAAAACCCAGTTTGGGGGTCCCCTAAAAACAAATACATACATATCTAAATGTAAATATAATATATATATATATATAAGTATATACAAGTATATGTATAATATATATATATATATGTATGTTTTTCCCCACATGGTTGTTTTGATTTTGGTGGTTCCAGAATGAGGCTCCCCTTTGCCTCAAAGCGGCGCTGGCTCCAGGCGAGCCTTCGCCGGAGAGCGTCCTGAGCGGCACCACCCTGGCGCTGGAGCGGGAATCGGCATGAGTTTGGAGTCAACGTCCAGTTGTTTTGAGCAGGGCCCCTATATTTCCCTATGTTTTTTGGCGGTTTTGAGGCGGTTTGGAACCCCGTGGTGTTGGTTGTTTTTGAAGGGAAGCCATAAGCAGGGGTCCCGATGTCTTTCCCTTTTTGGCTGTTTTAAACATCACCTTCTTGGCCCATGAAAGGTGAGTATTTTTCTTGGTGGGGGTGATGTTTTAAGGGGAAATATAGGGAGCCCTGTTGAGTGGAGAACACATCTTGAGGTTTTGGGCCTGTTCGGCTTGGCATTGGGCTGGGCGGGCTTTTGCTTAGGTTCGCTTCCCCTTCGTTTACTTTCCCTTTTTGGGGGGAGGGTATCGGGGTACCCTTGTTCTAACCTCTCTGCAAAACTCGGTTTGCTTCCGTTTGCTGAAATGAGGATTTGCTGAAATGTTCCCTTGTTGCAAATGTAATCTATCACTGGAAACAGTTTTATTGTGTCCAGGGGACGTATCCGCAAATGGGAAAAAGGGTTTCGCAAGGGACAAAATGGCAGGGATGTCCTTTTCAGTTTCCCTTCAAGCAGCCCAAAACGGGTACCCCGAAAAAAATTGGCCCAGGTGGTGTCCCCTACAGCCCCAAACCACCCATGGAACCCTCCCTGAAAGCTGCCTTAGAAAAAACCACCGCGAACGAGCCGATTTCTCGGCCTATCGACCCCAAGTCGACTTTTCTGGGAAAGAGGGATAGCCATCTCCCTCATCTTTGTCAACGTGACACAACTGGCTTGCTCGTGCGAGTAATTAGATGAGGGAATGCACCTGGGGGACAAAGGTCCCCCTAAAGGAAACCACGGGATGGTTGATAGGGGGTCATTCCAATTCTCATTCCCAAGCACCAGCAAGATCAACGCGGCAAAAAAAGATGCCGCCTTCTGCAGGAAGCGGCGTTGCGCCGCCTGGCGAAGCGGGTTAGGGTGCAGCTTCTAGGCGAGCAAAGGGCGCGAGCGCTGGGTTTTTCCGAGCCGAAACAGATGGGGCCCGGATTTTCAGAAAGCGGGTTTTTGCCGAGCTCCTTCTTTTATCAGACGTGAACACATATTTTATTGACTTGGCGGTTTAGTTGATCCGTAGTGGAAAACTGGCCTCAAGCTCCAACAATCCAAACCACCAATTAGAGGGTAGATGAGTTTCACTGGTTGGCAGAGGGCTGTTGGAACCGGCGGTTCACGCTCTTCAAAAGAGCTTGTGCGGACGTTTTTTGTTGGTGCTTGGGCTGGTTTGTTCGCGAGATGTTAAGGACAAAAGCAAAGCATTCTCACACGATGTCAGGCCAGGGTGCCAGGCAGCAGTTCCCTTGCTCAGTACAGGGCTTGTCAGTAGCGTCTCGGTTGGGGCTTGTTTCTTGGCCGAAAGGCCAATCGCAAAGCAACTCGGTCGGAAGTTGGCAACTTGTGTGGAACCCGTTCGGTTACCCCGGGTTGCAGTTGTCGCGTTTGCAAAGTCGCCAACCAAAAACCGGAGCATGTCCCTTGAGGGACATGACCAAAGCCAGTCGGAGCGAGCCGAGCTCGAATCCCAAAAACAGTCTTGGGGTTTCGGCCCAACTGCGTGCCAAGTTGCAAGAAATGCGCAAGGAAGGCGCACATCAGAGCCAAGCGCCACAGAGTTCTCCTCGCGCCAGTTCTTTGGCGGGGTGCCAGGATCCCATGAAGCTGTTCGGCCAACACTTCCCCAAGAGGTTTGAAGGCCATGCGACAAAGAAGCTGGCGGATTAAAGTTTCAAGCTGAGGCAGGCTAGCCCGTAAATTCACCTGAAGCCGAATGGCCCGTCTTGGGTCCCAGCCATCCCCTTAGGTTTTTCTGCTTTGTAGGGTTAATTGGGAGTTTCCACTAAGCCCACAAAAAAAGTTGATCACTTTTAGCACGGGATCTGAACATGGACAGCCCAGCCAGATATGTCTTATTCTTTTGCCCCTCTTCCCGTCTGCATTCGTTCCAGTTCTTCTGGCCTAGCGCAGTTCAGTAGTCCCCAAAGATCCCACCTCTGGGTATGTCTTGTGAGAGTACTCCTCAAATTCGCTGGGAATGCTTTTGATTGGAGCATATTTTTTGTGGTGTCACAGCCGGCTGATCACAGCCGGCTGGCAAAGACCAGCGAGCTTTTGAGACGCATTCATGGTTGTTGTTGGGACACATGTTACATGTTTGCGTATTGTGGTTTAGTGGGAATTCCCACTTAACTGCTAGAATTTAAATTGTTGCTTCCTTTCCAACGTCAACCAATCATTTGAAGGAGGTACCCGAGTAACATGGAACCGCACTCGGGGGGTTCTGGAAGTGCGACTGCGCGACTGCGCGGCTCGCAGGCCACTCGCTGGGGGCCGCGGCCGCGGCGCAGTTTCGCGGATGGGTAGTGTCGTAGTTTTTGCGTGTGCGAAGCTGCAGGGGTTCATCCATTTCTCGAGGGGTACCTTCTATTTCCAGGGGTCAATACCCAGTGGGTGGATTCCCAGGGTGTAATTCATAGAAAAAAACCCTGAGGATTTCAACCCTAAGGATACCAACCCAAGAATCTAGGATCCGAAGCTTTTCAGGAAACCATCCAAAACCCAATCAAAAAACGGCTCCGGTTTTTGAAAAAAAGACACAGATGGTCGAAAAGAATGGACCAGGGAATCAACCCCTAGAAATACCTCTTTTTGGTTGGGGTGTCCGAGCTTAAAAAAACACACACACCACGCCCACTCGTTTATGCGAGTGGCAAAAAAAAAAACAAACCATACCTCAGCCTATGGGAAGTTTCCCTTTGTGAGGAACCCCCAGAAGTGCCCCCGTTTCAAGGGACCTAAAAACCTACCCGCGAGGATCGCGTCACTTGGGAAGGGGACATCCAGTGGGCCCCCTGACTTCAGCGGAGGGTTTGGGGAAGACCTGCTCTCCCCAAAAGGGGTGGCTTGTGGAAGGGGTGGTGGTTGGAATGAGGGTGGCTTGTGGATGTTTTTTGGCGTTTTGGTTTGCCGCTCTTTGTGCTGATTCATAGGGTTTGGGAATCCCAGTTCCTGCAATACCCTTGAGGAATCCCACTTTGGTATCACACAGGGTATTTTTGAGAATGGCATCGATGGGCTCCGAGTGTTAATGTCAACCGCCAATGAATCAACGTGAGATGAATGCGGGGCTGCAACTTCCCCAAACGTGAGAAAAAAAGCCCCTTAAATTCTTACATGGGACACACACCCAGCAATCATCCGGGGTTTATCCAGGGTTTGCGGTTGAGCTGAAGTTGTTTGGGGCCGTTTTTGTATTCGTAAAAGAGCCACCCGCCCGAAAGAGTGACTCCACGGATTTTCGGCAATCATGTTTGACACTTTCAATTTGTGGCGCTTGCGACCAAAGGGGTTCCAGGATTTGTGCATCGATCTACAATCTATATGATACATATGATGATATATATATATATATATATGTATGTGTCTATACAGATATGTGATGTGTATTTATACATATACATTGTTGTGCACTTTCATATGTATATACATGCACACCATATTATGTACTTTACCGCAATGTAAAAAAGGCACGTGTTTCTACCTGCATGTGTAGATCTACACATGATACATTTAACTGACGCGCACTTACACGTCTGGTGTCTACCTGGACCCTCAAACATGAGATATGGTCCCAAACCTGCGGGATGATTGCTCGTGCGCTTAGGACCAAAGGAGGGATTGATTTGGACGTCACACGCATGTGTGTACCTCCAAGCGTTACCTAAAGCAATACAATTTCATGGCGGTTCTTACAGTTGAGCAGCGCCCAAACCCCCTTTTGGCTTTGCTTTTGGTTCTACCAACATGGCCTTACACCCCCCAACTCAGCCGGGTAGAATCACCTGAAAAAAAGCCCTTTCGGCGGCCTTTGAGCGCTGAACTGCAGAGAGGCCCCGCGAAAAGTTGCTGGGGTTTAGACATACTGTGGATGGGCGAAATCCTGCACCACTTGGAAACCATGGGAAACCCCTGTTTGTTAGTATTCTCAGGGGAATCATCATTCCAGGGTTTCTTAGGTGGTGCAGAATTTTGTCCATCCACAGTACTACAAGCGCGCGTTGCATCCGATCGCCGTGCCTGGCTGGGAAGGCCTGACCATGCTGAGAATGTAGCTTGTGCGTGTCTGGCTTTGGACAGACATCTTGGCACAGAAACAATCTGAGGAAACATCACGGGAAGCTTTTGCAGACAGAGGTATCTCAGGATTGGAACATACATTTCACGAAACATAGGCTGGTTTCAGTCAGGCTCTAATCATTTCCAGTGCCATCACTGTTGGATTCAGAGAGGTGAACATTGAGACAGAAGCTGAGGTAATGAGCATGAATGGCTATATGATTGTTAACCTTTTGCCGATTTTCAGAGACTCGATTGTCGATCGTCAGCAATTTGACTTCTAAAAGCGTGATACACATGTTGCTCTTGTTGTGGTCCACCATTGAAGCCATCAAAAGCCAGGAACCCAGTGAAGTAATCTTTCTTTGTGAGAAAGAGACTTCTACTCTATCTCTGAAGATGAAATCTCTGAATGCGACTGGAAAGAGCGGTCTTTCTTTTGATCTGATCTCCAGGAATCTCCAGGACTCTCCAATCTACAGGACGCTCCAGTCTTCCGGAATCTCCGGACCTCTCAAACAACTACCCCAGGACCCATTCCATTCACCATTTGATCTCGAGGAATCTCGAGGAATCTCGAGGAATCCAAACTCCAATTTTCAGGAATCTCCAGACTTCTCAAACAACTACCCCAGGACCCATTCTATTAAAAAAAAAAAGGCCAACATGAAGGGGTTCCGAATCGAGGTTGGCCGCGCAGTGGGAGCTTCGGCTGCCGAAAGAGTGCCAGCCAGAGCATCCAGGCGAGGGAGCCCATATTCGTGGCATGCTTCTAGGGGGGAAAAATGCGGAACCTTCTTCTCAGGGAACCACCATAAACCCATCTCAGTTGCCCAAGGCAAAACGGCCTTTTGAGCTTTGTTTGGTTTTCGAGTCTTGGCAACCATGTTTCGTCAAGGTCCCAAAGGGTCATCGCGTTGTATTTCTGGGTCCCTAAGGGGCAAGCGAGTTCAGGGAACCACCAACCCATGGGAAAACAACGATCGGTTTTTGAAAAGACCGATTGAAAAGAATGGGGAAACAGAGCACTGCCAGGAATAAACAGGACCCACACCCCCGCGTTTTTTTCTTCTTCCCCTTTCGCGAGCCATAAGAAGCAAAACCCGATGCTTCGGGTTCCACGCAACGTCCACTCGAGGGCACCCGCTCGCCGGCCGGCGAGGGACCCTGTTGCTCTCGGCGCCCTTCATCGACATCCCCCACATGGCGATACAGCTGGCCACCATCCTGCGCCGCGGCAGCACGGTGCCGAGGCGGTTTGGAGCCCTGTGGTGTTGTTGTTTTTGAAGGGAATCCATAAGGAAAGCCGCTTCCTTTCCGCCTTTTTTTTTGGGGGTGGGAGCCCTGTTTCAAGAAACTCCCATTGCTTTCGAAGTGATTTGCATTAATGAAACACACGAGGTTTGGTTGGGGGCCAGAGGCTGAGGTTTTCAAATTGGGGGCTCAGCTTGCTATCCCAAGAAGAAGCACCCAAGGGCTTCCTTCAATCATGGAGCCGCTTTTGGGGTTCTATGCTAATCTGAGGGCGAGCAAAATACGGGAGCTAAATCCCTGTTTCGTTTCCGGGGGGGGGGAGCTTTTGTTAATCTGTTTCTTTCTGCAGTGGAGCAGCAGTGGAGCAGCAGTGGAGCAGCAGTGGAGCAGTGGCAGCTTGGGGACCGATCGCATTGCAAAAGCGGAAATCCAATGATGGGTTTCTGAACGGAACAATTGGGATCCCCGATGTCCAAATGCCTGGATAAAGTCGACGAAGCTATAAAAGGGAAGCCAAGAAGCCGGAGGCATGTGGCGGTTGGTTGGAAGGCACCCGAATCCTGGGGGTATCCAAGTTTGCTTTTAAAGAGGGAGCTAAGGAGCTACCGATCGGAGTAAGAAGATGTTAGGCAAGCTTCGAGTCTTGACGCAAACGTGTCTCTCTCTCTCTCGAGCGCGCCTGCCTGCCTTCCATTTCTCAAACGGTTTAAAGCCGGTTTTGGGCCTATCCGTGGCACAGAGTGGTTGACTGAAGTTCTCAGTGCCAAACACAACCGGCTGATTGGACACGCCCAAAGGCACCCTTCTCCAAATGGCTTGTCCACTTCACGGAGAAGCACAAAGTGCTTCACAGTCTTCCCTGTCATGTTTGTCATGTTTTTAGGTTCTTAGGTCTTTTGGCGCTATTCAGTTTCTAGGTCTCCCAGCTAGGTGCCCTTTCTCACCCCATTTGTTTTCGGGGGAGGGTTTCCCTACTGAAATAGAAAAAAGGGTAGCCTTATTCTAAGCTCTCTACTGGAGGGCCTAGGGAGCCGACGATTTTGCGGGTCCCGAATTTATCGGCGAGCCCATTTGTGGCATCAAACCACATGGCGCGCTTGGGGTTAGGGACGGTCATAGATCCTTTGGGATTTCTAGACTGCCAGAGCCAACGTAAGGATTCCTAGCAAAGGGAGTGACGATTGGCCTAGAGAAGTTTTCATGCCACATGTGACCCGTTGCGCCAAACTGCTGTAGGGTTTGACGGCCTCGAGTCCTATTTTCTGGGAGGGGCAGGTGGATTGGGTCACCAAGACTTGCTGGTTCGATAGCGAGTCAACTTCGAGTTTTGGGATCTTCAAGGAAACTCGTGGATGGTTCATAGGGCTGATTCCCGACTCATCCCTGGGAACCCTTTCAGTCAGTACTAAACAGGATTGTGTGAACAAGGTTGTTTTCCCCACCTCTGCGATACCAGCAAACCTCCCCATTAAATGTTTGGGTCCCCCAGTAGTGCCCTTCTACCCTTTTTGGGGTGAAGGTTCCCCTACTAAAATAGACAAAACTGAAAAAATCGGGTACCAACTTATTCTAAGCTCTCTACTGGAGGACCTAGATATATAATCAGTCGTTAGGAAGGACTCCGATTGGTTTTTATCACAGTGGGTATTTTTTTTTTCCCAGAACCCCTGGCGCCAAGAACACCCACCCTCCCCCGGACTGAAGCATGGAAGCTCCCGAACGGACCCCTTTGGAAGACGGAAGACTTGGTTCCATCGACAGGATCGGCCAATTGGGGGAGCTGCCGGCTGTCCGTCTGAGGGAGTGCAAGACCCAAGCAGGATGGTTCACCACAGAGGCGCTTGCCTTTGAGGCTGAACCGGGGCCTGCCGCAGCTCTATGCGGCGCTGCTGGATGTTCTGCCGATACACGAGGCGGGGGTGGTTGGGGGGCGGGGGTGGTGGGGGGCGGGGTTTTTCTTTTGGAAGCACTCAAAGCACCCTTGGAGTGAGGGATGGGGTCATGGGTAAATCAACCTCTTAGGGGTTTTAAGGAGTTATGATACGGATTCCACTTCAGGAGTTTTGACCAGTACGCCGACCGACAGCCTCTGAACCGGAAGACTTTGACGATGGCCACATGGGGAGAGTTCGGAGCAGTGACACTACTTGGATGGCTTTCAGGGATCGCGTATGAGCCGGAAACCAACTTGGTCATTTTAACACCAAGCAAGGAGCAATGAGCAAGGCGGAGGTTTCCAACCACCAAATAGTAAAGTGAAGCAAACCGTAGAACCTATATAGCACTGCACATCCAATCATCGCTTCTTGCTCGCGGTGGCCAATCGGCATCGTCACTCTTAGGATGGATGAAGGTGAAACCAGAAGCAAACCATTCATTGGCGGGGCCCTTGTTTGAAGCACCCCCCCTTGTGCTCGTCGAATCGGTTTGGCCCATCCGGCTTACGCGCTGGCAGTGCTTGAGGGCCAAAGGCCTTACCTCCTAGCCGAAAACCTAACCTACAGCTGTACCCTAACCCTAACCCGAACCCTGGTCCCAACAAGTTTCAACGGAAGGAGCCCCCCAAAAATGGGGTCCCAAACTTCACATTCCGATCCTAAACCTGGCGCATTGTGGTAGCAGGGTTCAAAGCTGGGGGAGTCATCCGGACTCTCAGAGTTCGGCTGGCGAGTTCTCCAGGAGACCTTCGAAAAGTACTGGCCCTCCGCATGGCTGGCGGACACCGGGCACAGGCAAGATGAGAGAACTGGAATCGGGTTTCTTCGGATCGGGTTTCTTTGGGGTGGGACAATTTCCACTGGTTGAAAGGGACACCACAAAGAAAACACCATGTTATGTTTGAATGTTTGTTTGTTTGTTTGCTTGCTTGCTTGCTTGCTTGCTTGTTTGTTTGCTTGCGTTTTTTTGTTGCTTGGCTTTTTGCGCTGTTTCTTTCTTCTTCTTATTTTTTTTTTGGGGGGGGGGGGCACCTGCACATATGGAGTTCGGATGCATTTCTCATGTGAGAGACAATCCCTGGCCGGCATTCAGGGATGAATCGCTCATGAGCAGGAAATGGATGGCGTGTTGCCACACATCAACGAGCCGATCAGCAGATAGCCAGCTGCCCATTGGAGGGTTGGAGCTCTTGGGCTTCTTTCAGCGACAATCCTTTGCTCCGTTTTCCATTTGGAACTTGACAAACCCATTTGGAACAGCAATCACCAGGTAGTTCAAGCGAAGTCGGGGATGTGCCCCTTAAAGGTAGATGCGCAAGACGCCTGTTCGATTCTTTACATCGGTTTGGCTGGAGTCCTGGCACACCACGCTGGGGCAGATGGCAGCCTCTGTTTTAAACGGGACTAGGATGGCTGGCTGAGGACGCCCAGGCGGATGCGATGGTTTCTGGGTGAAGTATGACGACCTCACACGACCGAATTCACCCCAAGTGGTGGTTTATGTGGGGAATAGCCCCCCAACCACCGCAGGTTTCGGATTGGTGAAATATTGTAATTCGATTGTTTGTGAATCGATTCTGACAAAATGGGCCAGGACTGAATGAAAGTTGGACATTAAAGACGTCGATAGTGCGTGGGTTTTGACGGCAGATGTGCCTTTGTCAAAGCACCTGGTTGCATTGCGAGAAAACACAGGATTCAGGTGCCCAGACTGTACTTTGATTGTCAGCAGGACTGCTGCCAAGATTTGTCCAATCATCACCGCACGGGAGCTTCGTTTGCTTTGTGCACTCGTGTCTCATCAGAGCACCCCCAATTGGCACCACATCTCAGGCGCCGATAGAACACCAATTGAATTCCTGAACTGTGCGAAGTGCAGGATTGAGTCCTTGCCGACCTTGACCATACTTTGACCAAGTCCAAGCAAATATATAGCTTCTCTCGTCGACGTGAGAACGATAGGACCACTCTGCAGGGCAAACAGCACCCATTTCGACGACGGTTCTCCGCTTGGCCCGCTTCAACCCATCAGCGGCAATGGCTCGGCACGCCCTCGGCGAAGCTCTGAAGAAATCTTTTGCTCGCCAAAGAAATCACGGCGGTTGAGCGTGTGTGTTGCTTTGCCTGGTCAAAGGGTGAATTGGCCACAGCGTTGTTTTTTTCTTCTTCTTTTGGTTCAGTTTTTTTTCAGTCTCTGCTGGAGTGGTTCGACTTTGTTAAGTGCCTCTATATCACAGGTTGACACAGGTGCCGTAGAATTATTGGTGCCAGCACAAGCATCCGGACTCTGAACCAAACACCTGGCACGCCCTGATTTTACGTTCCCCATGGTCTTGAGCTATTCAGTGCTCAGCCTTTTGGGATTCATGGTTCCCGATGGATCCCCAAAGAGTTTTTCTGGTTTCTCATAGCCGCTAGGTCACTGAATTGAATCCCCAACCCAACACCCCTGCAGCCAGATGCTTATGCTTGCTGTGTATGTACCCTTCGAGCTGGGAACTGATCGCTCTGCGAAATGCAGCACATAATTTTCAGGACATGCAGCGCAGCTGAATGAAGGACAGCACCTTTGGTGAAGAATCGAAATTGGCGACAGCGCCGTTGGTGGAGGATTTGGCAGGTTGCCAACACATGTTTGCGACATGGCACTGCAAACACATCTTGCCGCTTTCAACTAACATGGAGCACTCAGAAGCTAGAGGTGCTGCTTGCATATTCTTTGCTACGTTGGGTTTACATGGAAACGAAGGTCAACCGCTTTGGGGATATTGGCAGACTTCAAACACGAAGGACCAACCATTTGAGGATGGACTCCACATCTCCGACATGCGGGTTTCCTTAGGTTCAAGCCCATGACCCCAAAGGGGTGTAAATCAGAAGTAGCCTATGTTGCATGTCATTTTTGTTGAAGCTTTTTCGGGGGAGGCCGCTTCTTATTGCCAGACTTGCCTGTTTGCCCTTTGGGTGACTTTTCCCGTTTCCAAGCTACCAACCGCTTCGTCAAACGCGGTAGGCTGAAGCCGCTGCTAATCCTGCTGCTGCCAGGGGCTCAGGGCTTGGGCTTCTCCTTCTTGTTGGCTCATCCTGGACTTACCCTTGGTTTCAGCAGGGCTTGTTGTGGGCTTCTCCTTCTTGTTGGCTCATCCTTACTTTGGTTTCTCCCGTCCTTGGCTTTCTCCTTTGGTGACACAAGGACAAATTCCCGGCTTCTCGTTTTTTGGCTCGTCCCGGGATCCCGGGCGAATGGGCTGTAACTCTCGCGGTTAGCCCAGGCGGCCCCTGGTGCCCCACCGCTGGGACAACATCTCCGCGGTGCGGAAAGCGGCGCAGGCGTGAGCTTTTGCCCGGGCCGTTATCTAGGAGCTGGCACCCAAAATGGTACTTTGGTAAATGGAAACAACGACCGAAACCGGCGCCCGAAGTCTGGAATTTTTGAGCAACACCCCAATGGCTAGGAATTGATCTCTATTGAATTGCGGTTTGCTAACTGGCTGTTAGTTTTGGTAGGGAGGCGCCTCACAAGTGCTCGGTGGACATGAATCCCCACCTGAAATCTGTCCACCAAGGGGTCCCTGAATAACAGCCAAAAGGGGTGTGCTTTTTTTTCCAGGGCATCCTTATTTGGGCATGTGCTCATATGGGCCAGCATCGAACATACTACTTTGGGTCAGAGTGCATACGCTGAGGCAGCCATGGCTTACGACTGCGGGTGAAGTGGTCTCGGGCGATTCTCCCAATGCGGTGACTTTTAGGGGTGACTTTTGCGAACGGGAACGTGGTGAGACTGAGCCTCTTAAAATCTTGTGGACAATTTAATATAAATATATATATATTTATCAACAATTTGGGATACGCCCCAAAATGGGTGGTTTTCTGTTGGCGTCCCTTTAAGCCAAGGTAGAAAGGGGTGCCCTCAAACAAGCGCCCTCACATTTTTGGGTGGCCGCTTTCTGTGATACCTTTGAGAAGTCCGGTTTGTTGTGGCCTAGTTATAAGAAAGAGCTGCTTTGGTATCAGAGAACGTGTCGTTTTCCACAACAATGTTTCTGTTTGGCAGGGATGCACCAAGGGGTCTTTAGCTCAAAGCACCCGTCTACATATTGGTTAGGACGTGGTGCAAAGATCTGAGGACTTGCCGCAAGTCTCAAGCACGTTGCCGTGAGGCGCTTCGATTGCAATATGACTAGTATGAGGGGCTCAAGTCAATTTTGGGTCCCGAAAAAGGTACTAAAGAAAGGGAACCGCTGTGATGATGAGAACCGTGCTTGTAGTCGTATCGGCACTCAAATCAAGGGCGTGACGCAGCCAAAACCCACGCAGCGCGCGGCGAGAATCGTGACCCGATTGGGTAGGCCGGCTGGAAGATCCGCGTACTGCACGGGGCGGAGGACACGAGCCAGTCGTGGTGTTTCCCGGCAGATGGGCGAGCTGCGGCAACCAGAGATTCGCTTCCTCCGCGCGTTTTTTTTTCTTCTTCTTTTTTTTTCAGCTGCCCGCAAGAGCCGCAGGTTAAAAAAAACCCAAACCTTCAGGTAATGTTAACCCCGGATTACTAAACCCCTGGTTGATTTGTAGGGGGTGTCCCCTTAGTGGGGATTCAGACCACTTTTGGAGGGGTTTTCACTCCCCTAATGGGACGAGGTCTACTTAGATCCTGGGTATTGAGGTACAATGACTCGTTCAGCGTGCGATTTCGGCATACGCGGCCTGAGCTTTGGGAGCATCACTTCCGCCTGGGTTGTTTTCAAGTTGTCACAGTTGGGGAGGGGGCGTTCTCAAAAAAGTTACCGGTTTTGGGGGTGGATCCCTTGAGAGGGTCATTCTGAGGATGTCTCTCTGAGTATGTCTTTTTCGAGGGTACTTTTTGTTTTCTTCTTTTTTTCTGGTGTCTGAAGAGGACACCAGAAGAGAAAACTCCCCCGTGAAACCCACGCTCCATGGCGTGAGACCGTCTTGCTGGTGCTCAGCAGGGAATGAGAATTGGAATGACCCCGATTTACACCATCCAACTCGTGGTGTCCTTTCAGGGAATCCCCAAAACCGGTTCATCCCCGCATTCCCTACCTATCGCGCCAGCACATACCCTCCTAACCCCGAAAGCAATTTGTTCCTTACCCTTGAAACAGGAGACTCCTAACCCCGAAAGGGTCTGAATCGAAATCTTGGCTCGTCGCGCCAAGTCGCGCGTCTGAGGATCGCCGCTTCGCCGCTTCGCCGATTTGGCCAGGACGAGCTCATCCCGTCCAGTATGGGGCGAACCTTAGCCGAGCTGGCGCAGGCGGGGCCAAAGGGCCGAAGGGATTGGGGCGCTTTTTAGGTGGTTCTGCCTACCTATTTGCTTAAGAATAGGTCTTATGTTTCCCTCTTGCTTTTAAAGGGAATCTGCTACCGGAAATGTTTTTTTTTTTGTTTTTCCAGGGGCTTAAGCAAATGGAAACACGCACGAGCCACCTATTTGGGTTCCCCGCTTTCGGCCTCATTCGTCAGTCATTTCGGCCGTGCCAGGTTTCGCAGGGCGAGCTGGCGGATGGCTTCAGCGAGATCCCGCGGGCAGGTGGGCACGCGACGAGTTTTTTCGGCACGGGAGTTGGTTCCTTGTCCATTCTTTTCAACCATCTGTTTTTTTTGAACCGGATCCGTTTCCCCTGGGTGTTTGAATGGGGATGGTACCGCTAGATTCTTAGGTCTTTATCCTTAGGGTTGAACTCTAAGGGTTTGTGTATTACACCCTGGGAATACACCCACTGGGTATTGACCCCCATTTAGGCACATTAACGGAAACAAAACAAAAAAACACGTGTTGTGTTGAACCATTCTGAGTCATGTTTGACGGGTGTAATCCCAAGCGTGTAATACAAAAGCCCTCAGATGAAACCAAGGGTCAGCGAAAACCCAAGGGCCAACCAGAGGCTGACCAAGGACCAACCAGGGGCAACAGGGGGCAAAGGGAAACCAAGTGGAAACAAAAGGGAAGCCATCCAGTCTTGCGGGCTCCCTCTTTTGGGGACGTGAGGACAGAAGTTCTGGCATGGCCGAACAAGAATGTGGGCGAGTGTTTTGTAAATAGCCAGGTGCGAGTTTGTTAGCAGATTTGCAAGTGGGAAAGCTGAGTTGGCGAAAACGAAGCACTGCGTAGCAGTCTGCCACAGAATGCGGAACACCATTCATGTCGGGCAACCATGGAAAGGAAGTTGAACAAGACTGGCCATATTAGTCACGATGCGTATGGCATCCAAGTACCGTGAAACGGAAATGAGGTGTGTCACAGCCTCTCACTTGCATGGAAGAGTGCCGCACATCATCCCTTACAGGTGGAATGTCATATGTGCCAAGGTCAAAAGACCCAATAACTTCTGGGGAGGGTCATGAATCCTAAGTAGGAGAGAGAGAGACAGCCATTGTCACAGTTCGAATTGGAGGCACCCCTTCCGAAAATTTCGCCCATAGGAGCCCTCCAACTCGGGGCCTGAGGGCAAGGCGCGCGCGCGCGCGCCTCTGCGCGCGTGCGCAAGCGCGCAAAGCTCGCAGGCCACAACGATGTTGTGCTGCGGGGCTTCGAGCGGTACATGAAGTTGATGGGCTTGACGGATGCCAAGAGTCGGCTGTAAGGTGCTGGGGTGTGGTAGGGTGGGTGGGGCAAGGGGTGGGTCCGCTTGACGTTTGAGAAGATGAGGCAGTTGTCGTAGTGCCCCTCTGTGTTTCCAAGTGTTCGTGGATTGTCGGTCGTCTTGCGTTTTCCTTAGCCATGCCTTCATCCGGCGTTAGTTGTTAACATGAAAGAGGCGTCCAATACGCCAAACACGTCACCTCCATCGATCTTTTCGCGAAGCTGTTGTTTGATGCAGCCTCTGCGTGGACAAGTTCCGCAATGGTGTACTTCGGCACATTTTTGGGACAGCGTTCCACCGAAAGAACGCCGAAAAAGTTGTGTAGCGCACACTTGAAGTTCATTTCCCTCTGGCACTTAGATCCTGGGTCAACACTAAAGCCCAGGAACCGCCCTCTATTTTTTAAGCAACCAACCAAAAAGGACATGGTTGGATGGTTTCTGGGGGTCATGCACTCCTTCCCACCAAAACAAAGCTCCTTGAAGGGGGGTCTTGGGATAGTATTAAAGCCCAGTGCACACCCCCCTAATAATGGGACGGGTTTATTAATCCCGGGTCAACATGAGGGGGAAGAAATGAACCCCCAGAAGTGTAGCACACCCTTCATATTGGCCCCACTCAGGCTTGATGAACCTTTTATGCCCTGCCCCATTTGAGGGGATTCGGAGGGGAAACACCCCTGTTCATCCATGAGGTGGTTCAATCCGGCCCGGATCCGGTTTTGACATCCGGTCTAGGCTGGGCAAGTTATATACCCCAATTCCCAAGCGCAAACAGGCCAAGAAGAGGAAGACTCTGTTGGTGAGGAGTTGCCCCCCTTTGCACCACTCAGCCATGGTTTTGAAAAATTGAAAGGAGTGAAGTGTTTTGGGACGTCTTCAACTTGAAGACCGGTTGCGTGTCAATGCAAGCCGGAAAGGAAACTGCCAGGTCATGCCTCAGCTTTGACCTCAATACTTTCTCAAAATCTGAGCTCGGGTGAGATACGGGCTTGGGCAAAGTCGGTTTGCCTCTTTTCCTTCACCCTCAGGAACCACACTGCAAAAAGATGGGATTCTGCTTGTAACCATTTCTGCCTCAACTCTGAGATTTCCTTACAAGTGCAAGACTAAAGGCTGATGTTTAAACGACTCTCTACTTGCAACCAGCTTTCTCGTTCTTTTTTGGGGGTGTTTTTTGGGTGCCAGTTGTTTGTCTCGTTTTTTGTGTTGTTTTTTGGGTGGGCCCAAGCCTGGAGAAGACGACCTTTGGGCCCCGGTGGTTTCTGGGGCTGGGGCTTCACCAGGCCGGAAAGAATCGCTCGTTTCACCGCCGATGCAGATCGCAGGCGCCAAAAAGGGAGCGCAGGTCGTTCTGGTTTTTGTTTGGGAGAGGGAGGCGTTTTCTTTGGTGCAAAACTTTAACTTTTTAGCAGGGGAGCTGAAAGCAACCGAGTTTTGCCATCGGCCCAGACTTTGGGTTTCAGCGGACTTCGGGGTGAGGCGTAAAGCTTCTGTGTGTGTTGAGTCCAACATCCGGGGGGTCCTGCCGGAGTTGTGCAACCATGGGCTTTTTTGGCGTTGCATCTAGCTCGGATTCCCTGGAGCTGAAGGAGACGCTCGTGCCATGCTGTGCCATGCTGTCCTCGCATCTGCTATGTAACGTGTTTTTTGGCATGCCACCGGCTTTTTTGCCCCGCGCAATCTTCGCAACAATTGCCACGCCGTCCATGCAAGGCAGTCACGATTTGTCTTCTTTGCCGCTTGGGCTGTCGCTGTGATGGGTTCAGGAAACGGCAACTTGCTTCCTGGTGTTGTTTGGCTCTTATCGAATCTGAATTTGGTTGTCGGTCCTTTCCAGGAAAACCTTGAGCAACAAAAGTCTGAATGCAAGTTAGGCTTTCTGGCTGCAGCTTATGGCAGGATAGGGTCTTTTATTGGCTTTTGAAGCACCGAAAAGCTCCCCCCTCCCCCCCCCCCCCCCACGCCATTTTCCCAGTTGTTTCGCTTCCAAGCTCGACCCTTGTTGGATTGCCCTTGTGGCGGTGGAGCCTCTTAGGTGGCAGGGTCTTAATAGTTCATCGGAGAGGTCAAAGCACGTTGCTTAGGATTGGTCTGGACAGCCATAGGGACTTACCACAGTCCATTTGTTTTTCCCCTGTGGGTGGTTTTTGTTGGCCCATGAAAGGTGAGTCTCCCTGGGTGGGGGTGAGGTTCGTTACGGGGAAATGTGGGAGCCCCGACTTGAGACATGCCCACCGGGTCGTGTGCAGGATGGATACGAGACTTCCAGGAGCCAGGAGGAGACGGCGAGCCACGTGTCACTGGCCCCATCCTTCATGATGTTGGAGGGGCCAGGTTGCGGCCCCCGCAGATATCTCCACTTTCCCATGGTTTCCCTTGGTTGAAAAAAACATCGGCGCACGAAAATACCTCCACTTCCCATGATGTCCCTTGCTCTTTCTTATTTTTTGGCCCTCGCAACTATCTCCACTTTCCCTTGGGTTTGGGTGAAAAGAACGTGGAAAAGACATCCGGCCATCCGCCTCCCGAGTTTCAGTCCGGAGATCGTGTCAAAAAGTCATTGAGGCTGAGTTGAATGACTTTGTTTTTTCTCAGCTGTGTTGGGTGGCGCCACACGTTGAGGACATGGTTGTGGACAGTTGGCTTCTGACTCAGTGGGCAGTTTGCGGCTTCAGGTTGACACTGTCTCTCCATGCCCGAGGGAGCTGCCTTCATTCCAAACAGATGAGCATCCCGCTTCAGCCACAATCAAAACCTGGGTAGATGAAGGTTAGTAAGGGGCAGTCCCAGCCAGAAATAGTTGCGGCCGCCTTCTAAATTCTTTACATGGTTCTGGGTAGACCATTTCACTACCGGGTTTTGATTATGACTCACTTTGGTACCGCAAGGGTTGTTTTCCACATTGGGATGTGAGGGCATTCGTTGCTGGCCGAGTCGTTCAAGATCGTGACATCCCACTTGGGACGACGCAGGACGATGGATTCACACATTCTGAAGAGCCAAGAGCTGCTTCAAGCGCGCCATGCAAGATGCTTCAATCGCTCCTGAAGGAAACCACGCGCAAAACCCTCAATCGACCCTCATGGCAGTGCTCCATGATTACAATGTGGCGATGTCCCTCCTTTGGCTGGGTAGTTTGAAAGTCCATATTTGCCGTTTTTGTTTGCCGAACTTCTTGCAGACGAAATATTTGAACAAGCCCGGCTTTGTCTCCGGTTTTGAGCTGTGGCTGCGTGCCCCAAAACGGCTTCACCCAAACACGGCTCCGGTCTGTTGGGCTGCTGGGTGCCCCTGGCCTTAAGCCCGAATGCAGTTTCAACTCTGCCTTGGTGTGGGTTTCAAAGGGAAACCCAAGGGAAAACGCGACGCCGCGTGTTTTTTTAGCCCCATTTTGGGGCTCCGATTCCTATATGGCCAATTCATTCCGACATTTGGGGCCCGAACTGGTGGACATCAAATTTAGATGGTGGACATTTCACCACCACTTTTCAACATAGCCATATCAAGCCACACCCTGTTTCAACTCAAAGCGGTGCCCAGCTGCTGAGTCCCCTCTCATGAGTCACCAGGAGCGGGCCTTGAGCCGCGAGCTGCAGGCCGCGGGGCCGCGGGGGGGGGGGGGGGGGGGGGGGGAAAGAGATCAAGGGTGCGAGCTCTGAGGAGAGGGTGGGGCCAGTTTGGTGGGTATCATTCGAAGTTGTTTTGGGTTCACATCTTTTATTTTTTAGTTCTGGTTGGTTCCATTCTAGATTTACCGTTTTGTTCCTTGTTTGCTGTTTCGGTTTAAATGCTTTAGATGTTGCTGGGGTTGGTGTTTCTTGAAGTATTGTGAAACCCACGGGGGAAGAAAAAAAAAAAAAACACCTTGAGAAGGTATCACGTCTTCTTTTTGTTTTTTTTTCCTTTTTTCTTTCTTGGGGAGAGGGGGCGGGGCTTATTGAATCATTTGGAACTCCAAGGAAAAACAACATCTCCAGGCCTTTTGTGGTATGCCCTCCAGCAACCGGAGTGACCGAACTCCGCGGGCCGAAAGATCTGTTTCCTGGGGTGTTGTTTGCCGTTTGGCTTCTGTCGAGAAGTTTCTGCCTCTAACAGCCTCCGTTTGGTTTAGGGACAAGGGTCTGATTTTTGAAAGGGGTTGCTTCGTGGCTCTTTTGCCAGGGAGTTTGTGCAGGGACCGGGACCTTTTGGTCTCCGTTCAACAGGGACAAGGAACTGGTTGAAGGGAAACCGCAAGAACAAAGTAAGGGACAGGACAGGGGCTTAGGAGACCATCAGGCAAAGAGCGCAGGTGTCCTTTTTGGCCTAGTTGGGTTAGAAATAGATGGATTCCACTGCTTTGGAGTTTTATTCTACACCACCGCAGAGCCATCTATTTTACCAACAGGTCACCTATTGGCATGACTGTCAGGTGTCAGAATTTGGACCTGTGATTCAAAAGCCGGCCGTTTCCCCGGGGTTCGGATGGTTTTCTGGAAAGATCCGGATCCCTTGGAAAGAGTGGAAATGGAGGGGTGCCCTAGAAAAAGCTTTGGCCCCTAGAACCGGCGACACCTAGAAACAAGCTGCCTGGATTTGACCAAAAGGACACCTAGGTTTTTCCCAGTAGTGGCCTTTTTTGGGGGGAGGGTTCCCCTACTAAAATAGACTACAGAAACAAATCGGGTACCCTTATTCTGACCTCTCTACTGGAGGAAGCCTATGGCGACAGGATTCGGACGCCTCGCTTCGGATCCAAGGCTCAGCTGGACCGCGCGCTGCGGGAGGAGAAAGCTGGCCGCGAGGCGCAGCAGGCGCATTTCGCAGGGCGGACGCAAACATTTGGAGTCGGACGGTTGAGAAACGCTGGAGAAGCCATTTGGTCTCACTAGATCCCCAGTAGTGCCCTTTTACCAACTTTTTGGGGGGGAGGGTTCCCCTAACTAGACTACAGAAAAGAAGATCGGGACCAACTACTGGAGGACGTAGATTTGGTCTCTTAACCTGACGTGGTTGGCCAGCCCTCCGGTTCCAGAAAGCTTGTTGGGCTTTTAAATAGGTTCAGCGGTTGGATTTCCAGATGAAATCCGCGGACAGTTCGGCTCTTAGCCGGGGGGATCTGAGGACAGCCCAGCGAACTCCCGCCCCGCCCCACCCCCCACCCACCCCACCCCCCACCCACCCCATTCTTGAAGCCCCGCAGAAACCCGGGAAAACCGACACACAAACACGGTACTTGCGATGTGCTCTGCAGAGTGGTGCCGGCCCCGCTGGCGATCGCAAACATGCCCGGGTTTGAGCGATGCAAGGGATGCGAGTTGGCAAGGATGCAGAGGATGTTGACCTGGATGGGCGACTGTCGGGGGCGATTTACACGGTATTTACAGTTTTTTGAAGGTTGGGCAACGTGGCATCAGGGTTGGCCAAGCGGCATTTGGCGCAAGTACACATGCCCGAGGTGGAAGCACGAGGGCGGGCTGTGCGCAGGGTCCCTGACATGCCCCTCACGTGCCTGCGCGCAGTTTGTCCCCGGGAAGACACTGGGCATGGCGGTGGCAGAACTTTGTTTTCCGCCGGGCTTCCTTTGCTGCGCTGCACCGCGGTTGTCTGTCCATGGATCACAGACACCGCGGCGCTTGCCCATGGATCGCAGACAGAGTTTCGGATCAGGTGACTTCTCGACCTCTCAGGTTTTGCTGCTTCCTTTTCACTCGTGGTCACGCCGCCGCGAGCGAAATCCAAAGCAGCTGACAAGAGAGAAAGAACCGTGTAAGGGTGCGGCGCGCTGTTGCTTACCTTCGGCGCCTTGGCGGCCAAGCCTTTTTTTTCTCCTCGTTTCCGAAGCTCCGAGCGGCGCCGCCGCCACAGCCAAAAGCCCACTGGCTCATCACTCAGGAGCGCTGAGCGACCTCCGCGCGCTCACAGAGGCGCAGAACGGAATGACCTTCCCGAGCCCGGCTCAGCTGCGAGACGCCGCGGCCTACTGGTGGGACAAGTCGCGCGTGATGCAGTTGGACAGCGTGACCGTCTCGTGCTTCGGAAACCAAGCGGCAGCTGCTGATCGCGGATG